GAGAGAGAGAGAGAGAGAGAGAGAGAGAGAAAGTGTTTGCACATATACATATGTGGGTTTGTTTTTCAGACTAAAAACTGCTTAATTCAAATTTGGGACTGCAAAGCTTTCCTTAACCTCACTGATCTACTTCTGTAGTTGATATTTAAAGCCACGAGACTGAACAAGGTCATAAGGGAATAAGTGTTGATAGAGCAAAGAAGATATCCCAAGGATTGAATTGTGGGCTATTCCAAGCAATGAAGTCCAAAATGACCACTGAAGTAGAAGAAAAAGATCAGGGGAGTGTGGTACCCTGAAACCCAGGTAAACAAAATGGACAGAAGAGAAGGGCACAGTCAGTAGTGTACAATTTTTCAAGTAGATCATTTGAAAATGTTTGGGAATTGATCACTGGATTTATCAATGTGAATGTCTTTGGTGTTACTGATGAAATAGTTGTGGTAGAGTGAGGGAGTTGTTGGAGAAAGAATTGGAGGAGAGGAATTTGAGATCTGAGTATAGACTCCAGCTTGGACTTAGAAGCATAGACTTTGTTCAAGAAGCAGAGAGAAAAACAGATTATGCATACACATGTAAGGTAGAGAGTAGATGTGGCCATGGAAGATTATGTTATTTCTCCTGTTTTTTTGTTTTGTTTTTCTATTTTGTAAATGAATTCCCTGTGGAAAGCCACCCATGAAATGTTCGTGGACCAGATCAGCACTGAAGCCATTGAGTGGGAAGATCTGGTATCTGGGAACTCATAGCAGCTCTCCTGCTGGGGAGATGGCCTGACACATGTGAACTCCCACCAGCTCTGCCAGAAGGTCCCACATAACACCAGAGACGGGAGTGACCCGTTAAGAGCCAAAACAGCCTGCCTACCCCCATCTATATCTTGTTTTTCATGAAGCAGCAACCATGGAGACAAGACTCCTCCCACACTGAGACCTTATACCTACCAATCCCCTTTGATCTGTAGCACTATAAATAAAGCAAGCACTGGCTCCATCTTTGTTAGAAGATGTACCCATCTGGTTAGCTTGGCCCATTGCTGCCCCCGCTCTGAAACTATATTTCTGTGTCCTGTAGTTATTTCATAGTACTATTTTCTTAGCTTTTATTTCTCAGCCAGCCCATTCCTCTGGAGAGGAATGCTTTCCCTCACCCACACGGGACTTGTGTGAGAATTCCCTAAACAAGTCCATCAGATAATAATGGATGGAGGGAAAGGGTTGAAGCTTTGAAAAACTCTTTCAAGAAAGAGGGGAAAAGGGTCATTAAAAGGTATTCTGCCTATGATGCCTCTACTGTCCAGTGAAGTTAGTTATATTAAATTATAAAATAAGCAAGGGCACATTAGTGAATTGTTCTCCAACCATTTAACAGTGTAGATACAAACATGGAATAGATAGAAAGTTGGATTCAACCTCAGGGAGGTTTGCCAAGAAAAAACAACTAATAGAAAAAGGAACCAGGAATTAAGGAAAGTGATTAAAATGATTGATTGCCAGAAACAACTCAGGTATGGATCAAAATGAGAAAGTGAGTGTTATGGGTTAAATTGTGACACCCCAAACCCCGTAAGTTGTAGTTCCTTGTATCTGTGAATGCAGCCTTATGTGGAAGTAGAGTCTCTGCAGATGTAATCAAGTTAATAAGAGGTCATTCTTATAGTCCAATAGGCCTTAGCAGCATCCTGTTAAGAACTAAAAGTATAAACTCACGGGAGAAGGTGACTATGTGTTTATGGAGGCAGAAATTTGAGTGATGCATCTGTCAACCAAACAGTACCACAGGTATCAACACCAAAAAGAAGAGGCAAGGAAGGATTCTTCCATCCAGGTTTTAGAGGGAGCATGGCCTCTACCCATACCTTGATTTTGGCCTCCAGAAGTGTGACACAGCATAGTTCTGTTGTTGTAAGCCACCTACGTGGTGGTATTTTGTCATTAGGTCTCTAGGAAACTCACTTATATATGGCAGAGCTGAGTGGCTGTGATAGAGATTTATAGAACAAGTCTGTGAAAGAGAAAAAGATCCCTTGTCCCTGGTCCAAAGTATGAAAGTAGGAATGAGAGGCTGAGGTAGGATATAGTCTAATGCAAGGCTCCATATAAGAAGCTCTGACTAAAGTGAGATGAAATCTTAATCTTAGCATTTCTCCAATTGCTAGGGATGTTGAACATTTTTTTTTATATATTTGTTGATTGATTGCATTTCTTCTCTCCAGTCAGAATAGCAATTATCAAGAATACAAGCAACAAGGTTGGTAAGGCTGTGGGGGAAAAGGTACAATTATATGTTGCTGGTAGGATGGCAAATTGGTGCAACCATTATGGAAAACAGTATGGAGATTCCTCAGAAAACTTGGAATGGAAACACCATTTGACCCAGCTATCCCAGTCCTGGTTTACACCCAAAGGACTTAAAATCAGCATACTATGGTGATGCAACAACATCAATGTTTATAGCAGCTCAACTCACAATGACTAAACTATGGAACCAACTTAGGTGTAGTGTACTGCAATAGATAAATGGATAAAGAAAATGTGGTATATATACACAATGGAATATTATTCAGCCTTAAAGAAGAATGAAATGATGGCATTTGCTGATAAATAGATGGAGCTAAGGATTATCAGGCTAAGTGAAACAAGCCAATCCCGAAAAAACAAAGGCCAAATATTTTCTCTGATGTGTGGATGCTAATTCACAATAGGCAGGAGGGCTAGGGAAGAATAGTTACTTTAGATTAGGCAGAGGGGAGTGAAAGGAGGGGGAGGGGGTATGGGGGTAGGAACAATAATAGAATGAATCAGACATTGTATCCTAGTTGCATATATGATTATATAACTGGTGTGACTTTTATATCATATACAACCAAAAGAATGAGAAATCATACTCTTTGTATGTGTCAAAGTGCATTCTACTGCCATGCATAATTAATTAGAACAAATTTTTTTAAAATAGTAAAAAATAAGCCCTGCATGCTGAGTAAAACAAATATTCAGTACACACAGGTGTGGTAACATTCACTGTGGGCTGTAGAAGAAAAGAAATCATGTTAGAGAGTAAAGTTGAATAAGTTGCTAATACAGCAAATTATTTTCAAGGGGAAGAATTACATTTCTTGGTGCGTAAAAATAAGTTCTTTGTACTTTCAACCTGTAGGTATTATATACCTCCTTTAATCTATCACACCTATAGACACTGAAAAGTCTAATTCTTAATAAGATGTTTACTCACTATTGCTGATGGCAAAATCTGGTTTGATTGCTAAAATATACTTGGTTTTTCAGAGTCTGGATATATCACTGCTTTGTTGTAAGGTTTAAGATAATTCCCACTTTCTTTGCCTCTTCTTTAATTCTTTTGTAGTTAAACAAATATAGAAAATATTTGATTCACATAAATACATATGTATTTACACATATATTTGTGTATTTATACACACGACACACATATTTATTTATTTACTATTTTATACTAGTTCTGTGAATTAAACTCAGAGGCATTCTACTACTAAGCTACATCCCCAGTCCTGCCTTTTAAAAGTTTTTTGATACAGGATCTTACTAGGTTACAAAGGCTAGCCTTGAACTTTCAAAAGGCCAGCCTCCTGACTCAGCGTACCCAGTGACTGGAACTACAGGTGTGGCTCACCACGCCTGGCTGATGATTAATATTGATTAGCCATCCAGAACATTGTGTGAATTGAAATTATGTATGTGATAATGATACCTTCTGGTCATTTAGAGCTTAGTTATTTGAAATGTATTTTTAAATACATGGTGTAATTTGATCCTTAAAGCAACCCTGTAAATGTTTTTTTTTAAAAAAAAAGAACAAAAATTTTGCTTCACAGAAGAAGAAGTTGAAAGTCAGTAAAATTAAGTGACCAACCAGAGTCATATCCATTTAAGAACTGAATGAGTCTTGGTTGATTTGGGTAGCAAATTCATTATTGACAGAAACCAAATGCCAATTAATACTGCTCAAAATCCTCTAAAATTGTTCTCCTGGAAAGGAATGGATTAGAATTATACAATCTCTCAGTGCAAGGAGTTCTCTTTCTTTAGAATTGCATATAATAAGCAATTGAATGCCAAAAAAATTAAAAGAAAAAATTTTTTTCTATTTTCAAGACTCAGAGAAATTGTGGATGTGAACAACTGATCCTGTCTCTCTGAGAATTAACTCTTTCTGGAGAGAGCTCTGGAGAGCTTTGATCCTGACCTAATATATGGTCCCTGCAGATTCTAGAATCCCAATGGGAAAGGAAACCATGCAGCAACTTTGCCCAAGAGCTTTTTTAAGTAAACAAAACAAACAACAAACAAACAAAACACAAGGATCCCAGTGATGTCCCTAAGGAATGGCTGGCTTGAAAACTTTTTGGAAGGAGAAGGAGGGATCTTTGTTACAAACTTCCGTCCCTCCTCTGGCTTCTGTTCCCTTACCCTCTGCCCCCTGCAGTGTTGTGTTTTCTGGGAATCAGCAAGAAAGATCACAAGTGGTCTTTTCTTTTTTCACTCTCTCCCATAAAGAAAGCTTTATCACGTGTGGCCTTAAACTTGCAGCAAATTGCAAAGAAATGGCTCAAAGGCTTCAGCTCTTTCTGTGCCCCAGGAGCTGAGATGCACGTCAGTGGCCTTGCCAGCGTGGCCAATTCTCTGCAGACTGCCAGAAAAAAAGAGGCCAGTTGGAAAGACGAAAGAGAAGAGATTGCTCAGGGGTGAGACCAGATCCTTCATCCTTTATTTCCCTTAATCTGCTCTGTCTGTGTCCACCCAGGCTCTCCTGACCTGGCAGCACTGCTCACACGGTTGCTGTGGAATTCACCTGGGTTTCCTCTTTCAGCCTGTGGCGTGTGGTCTAGCCGCACACGTGAGAGGAACTGGCTGTCTTGCTTCTCCACCTCCAGGTAAGATCTGGTTCTCTTTTGAATTTTGTGACCTTACCACTGATTCTCACAGGAAAGAAGTCCATAAACCCTTGAATTCTGCATTACTTATGGGTTCCAACGCTCTTCAATGAGAGTTGATGGTGGAAATAGGAGAGGAGACTGGTTGAAGAAGTCAGATAAGCCCAAATCTGGGTTCAAATTTTGTCTCTGCTGCTCATAGTTGGGTAGCTTTGGACCAGCCACTTAACTACTCTGATCCATATCACTTTCTAAATGGGCTTATAATGCTAACCTTTGGGGGATTGTTCTAAGGATTACAAAAAGTACATATATCACCTGGCATAAAAATAGTACTTATTAAATCTGACATAAAGTTATTTGTAAGGTTGGGGGAAGAATGAGCCTTCTAAACAACAGTCACTCCTCAGCAATGAGCCTTCTAAACAACACTCACTCCTTTTGAAGGTGGGATCCCAAAGTCCAGAAGCCAAGCTGGTACCTAGGTTTTCCTCATGCAAGATGGTAAGGAGGTTACTGCCTTTCTGACTTTCCCTGGAGTCCTTGGAGGCTGCCTGCTGGAGAGTGTCTTAGTCATCATTTCAGACCACAGGCGTCAAGTGCATCTGTGTGATTCAACTGTAACATCTCTCAGACACCTGCCTCTAAATTTAAAGACCAGAGGATTAAATTTATAAGCCCATGGAAACAGAGAGTTCAGTTTTTTTTCAGCCTAAAATGAAAGAAAAACTGGTTGGCTAGTTTGACTTTTGTTTCCAATCCCAGGGTGCTGCATGAAAACTTTGCCATATGTCTTTCCCTACAATCTATTCAAATGATTAATTAGGCTTTTGCCAGACGTAAATCCTGCTTGTTAACTGTGTCCTCTAACTCTCTTTCTTCAAAGACTATTGAAGAAAGTTATTCTGTGTGCTGAGGATAGTTCCATTCATATCATTGAGCTTCTTTCCCTCTGTTTTCAATGGCTGGAAATCTCCATGCTCACAAACTGTAGCCTCCTTAGAACATACTGCATTTGCAGTGATTTGCAGATTAGCCATCAAGATGAAATTGCATTTTCAGCAAAACTATGCAGTGTCAATATTTTAAGCTAGATATTATTATGCTCTACTACCTTAACTATGATCACTGTAGATAGTTCCCTTCTGCTATCACTTCTAGATTCCAGTTAAAACAATTTTTATATTAATACCTCCAAATCTAGAAGAGACAATGTACTTAGTGTCTCAAGTTTTTACATATTATTTTCAAATTTCTTCTCATTAGCATTAGCATATTAAAATTAATCCTTTGGATCTTTAAGGATAGATTCAATTTGAGTGTTAGTAGATTGTAGTGTTAAATATTTGTTATTTGAATTTTCTTGTCACTGGCTTTAATATTATGGCTGATGGGAAATCATATGAGATATTAACCCCTAAAATAATAAGCCAATATGAATTATATAGTGTAATTCTTGGAGAAGTATTACAACTTAAGCTGTAGATTTACAATTTAGTATTTAAAATTTTTCTGGATTATGTCTTTTTTACCTGGTGATATTTTTACATTTTAATATCTTAAAATATTTTTCATATAATAGTACATGTTTATTGAAGAAAAATTAGAAAATATACACAAAACACTTTTAAAAATTATTTGTAATATCACCAACCAGAAATAGTATGTTTTGAAACTTTGTTTCTATTTATATACATGTGTGAATATTTATTTATTTTACTAAATAATTTTTATATACACTGTTTTGTACAATGTATTTTTAAAACTTGCTCTGAATTACCCTAGATCTACATGCCTATGGTTACTTCTTTATATTACTTTCCAATGGCTTCAAAGCATTTCATTGCATGAAGGTATTGGACTTTATTGGACTTATTCTTGGGTTATTTGATCATTCAATATTTCACTGTAAGCAATGGATCTTTCTAGGAATTCAGTCGAAGGCACTCATTAGTTTTGTAGTGAAGGAACCTATTTAGCATTGTATAACTCAGTGTTTTGCAACCTCCCACCCCCTTTTTGTTTGTTTTCTGTGTCTCCCCTTTTAATTGTTCTGGAAAAACATTGTTCTGGAAAAATAATCTTCCTAACTCAGTGTATATGAAGTACCTTCTCATATCAGGTACTGGTAGAAAAAAATTGCTATTTTTTAAAAATCAGGAATGGATTTGAATCTTACCACCTGATATTTTTGCATCAACTAATATTTTATTGTTTTAATTTTGATAGGTGAATAAATTTTCTCGTCTCCATCAATTATTTAAGTTTTTAGAATATTCCTAGCTGTAAAATATTAGTTTATTCATCTGTATTTGCTAGCATTGTATTTGAGATTTTATAGTTCATGGGCTTTCCTGAAGCATTTCTTTTTATGCTGTCTTTATGAGATCTAATTTTCAATATAATTTTAGTTTTGTCAATGAATGAAAACAACAATACTCTGGTTCCATTTTCTACTATCTTCCTTTGAAGGATAGTGATTGATAAAGCACTCCTGTTATATCAATATATACTATAATGTATATTGTATCATATATACCAAGATATATCTTGGTGTCTTTGTTTAGGGCATAATTTCAATTTATTTTTGTCAATGTCTTTCTTGGTTATTTTTCTCTTATGCTCTGTGTCAATATAGATAATTGATATTTGCTAGAAAGTTATCCATTTTGTCAACATTTTACAATTATTTTTGTATCCTGTACATAACTTTTGTTTTATGTTCCTACCCATCGTGTTTTTATCCTTGTGTCACCTTTTGATCTCAATTAGCATTATCAATATCAATTCTGTTTAGTTTTTTTGGGTTTTTTTTTTGGGGGGGGGGTTGCAATATTTTTGTTTCGTTTTTCTTCCCCTTGTACATTTTTTGAAATTTAAAGTTATACATGTTTTTTATATAATGTAATCTATAAATATAACAATAATTTTTGAAAACCAAACACTTGACTCACCCTCTTTCCCCTCCCAGACAAATCCTCTTAACTTTTGAATGGCTTAGGTTTTCTGATATTAACTTCATATTTCCAAATAAATTATTGATAATACTATTACTTGATTTTTTTCAAACAATGAAGGCTTAATAAACATAGACTAAGCATTACATAAAGTCAAGATCCCCATACAACACTCAGAATGAACCTGTTTCCACCACAATACATGAACTTTTACTCCAATTGTCATTTCTTTTGTTAGTGTAACACATATGTGGAGGATCTCTTAATATGGAATTGTGTTACCTAATAATCTTTAGGGAGATCCCGGGGGTATTTTATTTTTTTAATCCTTTGATATAAATTAGCTTATCAGGCATGCACCGAGTCATGCAGAATCCTAAAGAAGTTGGGCCACGGGATGTGCAGATATTGATGTCAAAACAGAGAAATAGGTTCAGAGAATGGGGTGCTGTCAAGGGTTTGATCAGGACAAAAGAGCAAGGCAGTGTAGAAAAGTAAGCATAGCCTCCAATATGAGTTATTACAAGTTTATTGGTAAAATAAACTTTAAAAAAATCATACTAAAGTATGTTTTAAATTTGGGTCATTTATAGAAAGTCTTTACTATGGTATATATTTTTGTAAAATTAGAAATAAACATTGTATTTTCATTTTTAAAAAAGAAAGAAAATTAAGCATGGGAAGGGAGGCCATCTTTCTTACTATAAGGCAGACCCAAGACTATACTTTCTTCTGAGTCAAATCCAAGCCTCAGTCATAGATAATTCTTCTTCCTACTTGTCAAACTAAAATGATACACAAATTTGACCTCTTTGCTTTTGCAATACTTTAAGCCTAAATTTGGCCCTCCAGGAATTATAAGGTACTTTAGGGACTTACGGTGGGTATCAACCTCTTCTACTCATTCTGATAAGAAGGCAGATGTGAAGGCTTTAAGATTAGTGCAAGTGAATCAACATTCAAATGGTTGAATTCCTCTTCTTCCTTTCCTGCTTGCTCCTAGTTTAATCTGGCAAGACCACAAAGTTAGCAAAACTGTGCCTCTTTATTTATTCCAAAGGCAACATTTAAATTTATTCTTTGCTGTAATGAGGCTTAAACCAGTAGGATTGAGAAAGAATGCTGGCAACAATGTCCCAATAGCAGGATTAGTTAATCAAATATCCTGTTTGATTTTAATTGAAAGATTTTGCCAATTTACTATGGTTACAAAAGATGTCTTCCATAAATGATGTCTATAGAAGTGAAATAAAATATGATTTAATAAATTGTGTAGATTTGAATTATTTGTTTAACTTTTAAAATCAACTTTGACAGGTTAGAGTCCAGAAGCAATTTCATAATGGACACTTCATCCAAAGAAAATATCCAGTTGTTCTGCAAAAATTCAGTGCAACCTGTTGGAAGGCCTTCCTTTAAAATGGAATATCCCTCCTCAAAGGGAAAACAGCCCTGCTGTGGTGAACTAAAGGTAGAGTAATGAAGGATTGGGTGGAGGTTACGCTCTTGGCTTTCTATTCAACTATCTTCTGTATAATAATTTAGAAGTGAAAACTGCTTTCCTTTTAAAAATAAGATTTTATATGCAGCTTAATAAAACCACACCTTGCCTGGCCATGGGAACAATCATTTCCTAACCATGTAGGTTAAATTAGTTTCTTGGGATTTTTTGAAGGTACAGAAAAGGGGAGAAATATTAGAAAATAATAATTATTGAATTTTTACCATGTACCAGATATTTTACTAAGTAAGCACAGGTATGATATTTAATCTATGAATCACCCATATTATTTCCATTTTATAAAATAATTTTGACTTTCATTGCTATACAGTAAGGGACAGTGTTGCTTTTTAAATGGAACTCTGTATGACTCAAACCTCTTATCTTTTTTTAATTTTTTTTTAGTTGTAGATGGACACGATACCTTTATTTTATTTACTTATTTATTTTTATGGGGTGCTGAGGATCAAACCCAATGCCTCACACATGACAGACGAGTGCGCTACCACTGAGCCACAACCCCAGCCGAAACCTCTTATCTTTATACCAAATATTCACTCAGCAAATACTTACATTTTTTTCACATTAATGCTAATCTAGATGCAGATGGATATTGCATCACACACCTGTCTAGCAAAATACATAAACCAGATACCAAGAAACATTTGCCATTAAGAAGCTTGTTGAGTACAAATTTAACACACATGAACTTAAACATGAGGGCTGTTAGTTCCTTTTTTTCAGTCTACTGTGTCCTTGCTGATATATGCACAATCACTGAGAAAATACAGAATTATGAGTGTTAGACTTTTGACAAGATGCCAGCTGTTTGGTTTATGGTTTTCATTTGTTTTATTTTGTGGCTCATCAATGACTCCTTCCTCTCTTTGCTTCGTATATATTGATCTTCTTTTCAAAGCTAGACTCCTGTAAAACATCCTTTGGAGAAGGGAGAAAGATAGGAAGAAATGGTATTCAACATATTTATTTTGAATGAAATCAGCATACATTTCAAATTCCAAGAAAATTTGAACTTATTTTTGAAATCTGCATGAGCTTGGGGTTGAATGAAGCCTATAACAGTGGTTGAATTAAATCTTCAATAATAAACTTAATGTTGTATGTTGCTCTTAGTTTGTGTTCTTGTATGTTTGCTTAGTAAATTTTCCAATCTGTGTCAAGCTACAGACAGACTGTAATCTGTTTTATTTTCCAGGTGTTCTTGGGTGCCTTGTCTTTTGTTTACTTTGCCAAAGCATTGGCAGAAGGCTATCTGAAGAGCACCATCACTCAGATAGAGAGGAGGTTTGATATCCCTTCCTCACTAGTTGGAGTAATTGATGGTAGCTTTGAAATTGGTAGGTATTGCAAATACCCGACTTTACCTTTAAGCCCAAGATATTCTTATGGCTAGGTGACTTTCCTCTCTCCATTCTGTTGTCTGCTGTGATCTGACCTGTAAAATCTTGTTTGGACAGAATTTGCCATAACCTTATGCTATAGTAAAGGCAATTTGCTCTCTCAGAGCACCTAGCAATGCATTTCCTAACCTAGGTATTCATTATTGTATGGCTCATACAATTTAGAGTCTCCAGTCAAATTGAAACACTTTCCTAGAGAAGAGGGTGAGAAACTGATTGGTATTTTGAGTTATAGGAAAGCAAATTACTGTTAATTCTTCTAGATTATTCTAAGAATGAAACTTCTGTATTGGTTGATGTGCTTTAAAATGGCTTAAAGTTCTACTGTTTCCATTGAACACCTTTATCTCAAATATCACAGGTTTGTTCTAGTTATTTGCAATCCATGGATTTCCAGACAAGTTAGTTTCCTGACCATAATCCCAATTTGCTTCTCTTGCCTCTTCTACATTCCTTCCTTCCAGGATTCTGGACTCACTCCCAAACTGCAGCTCTCAATCATTCCATTTTGTAAAACAATGTCCTTTATTCTTGGATATCTCCTGGCATTACCATCTAATTTCTCCCCAAGTGAAGTATTTATTTATAACAAAGAATTTTTCTAAAAATGACAGAATTGGCCAAAAACAATTATAGGTTTTTCATATCATAACTTACTAATATTTCCATATATTGATTCTTTATTTCAAATTGTTCTCTATACTTTAAGTATATATATTTTTTTCTTTTTGGCTGAGTAGAATTTCATTCTCTCACTCTCTCTCTCTCTCTCTCTCTCTCTCTCTCTCTCTCTCTCTGTGTGTGTGTGTGTGTGTGTTCTTCATCCATTCGTTCTTTGGCAGGCATTTATTTAGGTTGGTAAGGATATGTTCAATCAAAAAATAAAATAACTATATATGCCACATTTTTTTATCCATTCATCTATTGAAGGGCATCTAGGTTGGTTCCACAGTTTAGCTATTGTGAATTGTGCTGCTATAAACATTGATGTGGCTGTGTCTCTGTAGTATGCTGTTTTTAAGTCCTTTGGGCATAGACCTAGGAGAGGGATAGCTGGGTCAAATGGTGGTTCCATTCCCAATTTTCCAAGAAATCTCCATACTGCTTTCCAGATTGGCTGCTCCAATTTGCAGTCCCATCAGCAGTGTATGAGTGTACCTTTTTCCCCACATCCTCACCAACACTTATTGTTGTTTGTATTAATAATAGCTGCCATTCTAACTAGAGTGAAATTAAATCTTAGTTTTGATTTGATTTTCTCTAATTGTTAGTGATGATGAGCATTTTTTCATATATTTGTTGATTGATTGTATATAATCTTCTGAGAAGTGTCTGTTCAAGTTCTTGGCCCATTCATTGATTGGGTTATGTGGCATATATACACAATGGAATAATACCCAGCAATAAAAGAGAATAAAATCATGACATTTGCAGATAAATGGATGAAGTTAGAGAAGATAATGCTAAGTGATGTTAGCCAATCCCCCCAAACCAAATGCCAAATGTTTACTCTGATATAAGGAGACTGATTCATAGTGGGGTAGGGATAGATGAACTCTAGATAGGGCAGAGGGGTGGGAGGGGAAGGGAGGGGGTATGGAGTTAGAAATGATTGTGGAATGTGATGGACATTATTATCCAAAGTATATGTATGAAGACATGAATTGGTGTAAATATAAATTGGTTGTATATAATCTCTGGTTGTATACAACCAGAGATATGAAAACTTGTGCTCTATGTGTGTAATAAGAATTATAATGCATTCCACTGTCATATATAAATAAAAATAATAATAAAAAAAGAAATGAACTTCTGGGAAAATAGCATTCAAGAATGTGTTAATAAATTGTCAGTATATTTGAAAAACCATATGAATATTCTCACTATCATATTTTTACTACATGAGAAATTGAAATAGGAATTTTAAAAGCATGCACTTTAAACCTAAAAAGCCACATGTAAACATAAATACCACATTTTAATAAAAAGTATATTTTTCCACTCCCCCCACCCTCCCCCAAAATAAAATAACTAAAAATATTTTTAAAGTTTTTTTTTTTTGTTTTGCTTTTTAATGTTTTACTTTAATGATCTTGAAATAGATTTTTATATACTGTGATACAGAAATCTGTTCACATTATCATAACCAATTTTCTAATCACCATTAATTGAGTGTATACTTGGTCCAGTGATTTGTACCAATCAATTTTGGTCCAATGATTTGTCTTTTTTTTTTTAAATCACTTATTAACTTAGCACTTCTTTTAAATCTGTTTAAATGTTTTTATCCTTGACTCAATATAAGACAATTTTAATGATAATAGTTTTATAATTAACTTCGCTATCAGGTAGGAAAATAATCTTGCTCTTCAATTTTTCTTAGATATATTTGGATAATAATTTTCTTAAATATCTTAATTGTTTAGAACTTATTGGTCAGATCTGTTAGCTAGTATTGTATGACAATGAATCTTCCTAACCATGAATGTAAAATAACTCTCCATTTAATTAGGCCTTTTTCTTATCATGTTCAATTTTATTTTTGTAATTTTCTTCATAAATGTATTACTCATCTTTTGTTGGATTTATTCTTATCTATTTAAATTTTTATTGCTGTTTAAAAGAATTTTTGTTACTTTTTTAAATTTGATAATCCTAGAATAGGGGTACAATATTGATTTCAAAATGTTAACTATGTGCAGCAACTTTGCTGAACTTATGTTAGTAACTTATGTTAATTTTTCTTTTGTGTGTGTGTGTATTTTATTTAGAGACAGGGTCTCACTGAGTTGCTTAGCACCTTGTTTCGTGAGACTAGCTTTGAACTCAAGATCCTCCTGCCTTAGCCTCACTACCACTGAGATTATAGGTGTGCTGAACTTATGTTAATTTTAATTGATTGACAATAGAAGAAGCTTTAGTATTTTCTGAGTAGACAATCCCATTGTCTGAAACAGAAGACAATTTTATATATCTTCCTTTTTAATTCTTAAATCTGTAATTTTCTTGTTCTTGTTTCTTTACATTGGCCCCAGTACTGTGTTAAATAGAAAAATCAGGGACAATGGCAGTGGATACCCTTCTCTTATAATTGACTTAATCCAAATGCTTTCAAATATTTATTATCTAACAATATCCTTGCTGCATGGTTTTTATGCATATATTTCAAAAATTGATTTGCTCATTAAGTTATGGTTAATTGAATTGAGTACTTTTACTACATTTATTATGATAAACATGAAACTATCCTGGAATAAACAGTACTTGGTCAGCAAGTGTTGTTTTTGCTTACTGTTTAGTTCTCTGATACTTTTGCTTGGGATATTTACATGTATCAATCATCATAATTAAGCTTGAACTTTAATTGTCCTTTATATACTGTGATACAGAAATCTGTTCATATTATCATAATCAATTTTCTAATCACCTTTAATTGAGTGTCCTTGTCCAGTTTTGGTTTCAAGGGTCTTGTGACATGACTTGAGTAACTTTCTTTTCTCCTATTTGAAATTTTTGCATGTGTGTGCAGACAGGGAGTGAAAGAAGGAGACTCTGTTACTTTAAAGTTAGGTAAAATATATTTGTAAAACTCTCTAGATTTGTCTTTTTCAGAGGCTAGTGATGGTAGGTGTGGAAGAACTTTGATAACCAATTTGGTTTTGTTGTTGTTATTGTTTATTAGTTTAAGATTATTGATCATCATTTTTCCCCAAGTGTGTCTTGAGAGCTCACAAAAGGTATTAAGTAAAGGAAGCAAAAATGTCTACAATATCACCGATGCCAAAATGGCATCATCTTGTATGTTGCATAGCCATGAATGTAATCAGGAACAGCCTGTGACTGAGTCCTTTGCTGTGAAGTATTGGTGCAGGGCAGGTGGGGTAACTGAAAGTCAGCTCTCTCTTTACTTTGGTTTATTTACTGGGGCCCATTAAGAAACATATAGACATCATTATCAGTATAATGAGATACAAAGTGTCTTCTGCTAAATACTTAAATGCCAAATGGGAAATCTCATGCTTACTTAAAAACATAAAATGAAATACAAAAATAAAAAGCTTAATTCTTCCTGAAGCCAGAAAGCATAGAGCCACTGTACAAGTTGCTGTCATTATTATTATTATCCTCAAGGCTAAAAAAGCTACTGCTCTTTTTCCAATTGGCTAAAGCTGGCAAGGTGACTAAACAGTAGTAAATTAAATGATTGCTTACAAATGTAAGGAGATACACTCTTGCTGGAAAATTGAAAACATCAAGGAGAACTTCAAAGCAAGGAACCCATCAGTCATCATCATCAATTGCTGGGGAAGTGTTAAGTTCTTCCTCTCTCTAGCTCTGCAGTTCTTAAAAATAAATACACCAGATGAAAATAACTAGGACTCTAAAATCCCTTGTAAGACCCTAAACAACATTTATCAAAGCATGTTGCAGGATGGTCCTGTCAATGCTCTTGAGCTTGTTTTAGAAATGCAGATTTCTTGGCTAGCTCCTAGTTCCAGGGAATTTGAAACTGTTTGGATCCGCCAAGAATGTGCATTTTTAACAAGTTCCATTTCTCCCACCACCTCCTTCCTATAATTGCCATACACAGCAAAGCCTGAGAAATCTTCCCTGAAGCTATTTAATCACATTGACCCCCACAATCAAGTACAAAGTAACTTATCACATGCTTCACTGGAGACATTTTAGAAAGGCTTAATTCTTACCTAAAGAAAACACACTCTTTGATTATTTTAAAAAAGAGAGAGATGGACATGTTTTATAGAGATTTTTGTATTTCATAAAATTTGTGTTACATGTGTACATTAAGATCAATATAATTACTGTGTACCAAAATTACCCATGTGGAGTAATTTTATTTCTATTTTGAATCTTTAAAAAGTATATAAACAAATGATAAGATATCATTTGTGTAAATATGAGCTTCATAATTTGATTTAATTTAAAGTGAGGTACAGTTATGTCTGTTTTACTGTTTCTGTTGGGGATATCAGCTAGAGAGAGAACATATATATATTTCAAGAGCAACTGGAAAACTAATAGAAGTTTTAATAGAAAACTTGAATGAAGAAACAGCAATAAGTTTACTTCAAAATCACTAAGGAAAATTTAAGCAAGCAACTCAAGGAATCCTTCAACAATTTAATTTATTGATAAAATACTTTAAAGGGCAAATAAGTAAGTAGCTTGGGTGAATGTGATGGTAATTAAAATATTTGCCTGAAAGAATAAGGTGACTGAAATAGTGTATATGGAGCCAATTTCAATAGTCATATTAAAGATAAAAAAGGTAAACCTTGAGGACCATGGTGGGGAGCTGGTGGACTCAAATCATTGCTGAACCTGCTGTGTACACTCATGTACTGAGCTGCCTATCAGTTGTTATCTGAGTTCTCTAACTTTGAATGCTTTATTCTTTCCCCCAAAGGGAATCTCTTGGTTATAACCTTTGTTAGCTACTTTGGAGCCAAACTTCACAGGCCAAAAGTAATCGGAGCAGGGTGCCTGATCATGGGAGTGGGAACATTGCTCATCGCAGTGCCTCAATTCTTCATGGAGCAGTAAGTCCAAAGCAGTCACGTTTCAGCTTACCCAACAACTGTCTTTCTCCTTTTTGTAATTACAGTTAATAGTTTAAAAGGGAATTTATGCCATATAATTTTATGTCTTATTATATATTCTTTGGACAAAATTTCAGAATAATTTTATTAGTGATGATAATCTAGGAAAATTATTGATGTCAACACAATTAAAGAAAAAGTTTTAATTAGTATATTTTGAGTCAAATGCTGTCATTGAGCTATGGAAGCAAAATATATACATAAAAGAATTAACATGTGCAATAAATGTCAAGTGGGTGTCAAATGAGTCATGAATGAATACTATATATAATAAATGCTATCTCATGTTACTTAACATTTCTTAGCTTGAGTTTATGCATCTTAAAAGTAATAAGTAGCTCGTAATGCTGCTGCAAATTTTAAGTGAGATGACACAGGTAAAATGCTTATCAAAATTCCTGACATAAGCAGTAACTGTGTTATTGTTGTTGTATAGTTTAAGCAATTATCTTTTGCTAATTCTACCTTATTTCAACCAGTAATCAACAATGGTTTTATCTTAAAGGTGTTGCGTTCAGATGAACTTTTTTTAACTTCAAGTTAATTACAAATATAGGATAGCAGTACAAGAAAATCAGAGTGTATATGAGAGGTGGGATAGGCAGGCTAGAGCTGACAGAGGATGCCAACATGACAGACTTAGATTCTTGTCCACCATCTTTTATAAATTAGAGATGCATTAGTTATTTATGATTTAGTGTTTGCCACTTGCCAGGTACTATGCCAGGTAATGGGACTTATTTCCGTGAAGAAACAATACAAAAATAAAAATATGCACAATCTCTTTCCCCGTGGCACTTGCTATCTACTCAGGATTATTATATAACTTCTTTTCGACTTTTTATAGCATTGGTCACAAGCTGGGTACTTATTCAGTGTGATTTCTTGTTCTCTAAAAAGACTATCTGCCTAGAAGAAATATCCTTGATGTCTAATAAAACATACTAATCATGCATACCAATGAGTAAGGACCTGTCCCAACAGATGAGTTTAGTTTTATGTGTGTTATCTCAACCAGCTCATGAATTTATCAAGTCCATATTGATCATGGTAAAGGCTGTGGAGACATGGTAATGAAAAATAATCTCTGTTGTCATGGATCTTATGAAGAAGAGACAGAAAATTTAAAAATAAATAGTAATACAGTATGTTTGATAATGTTAAAAACTACAGAGAAAAATAACCTAGTTATGAAAGGTAACCTATTAAAAAGTAGGCAGTCAGGAGTGTGGTTTGCAACTGATAGTAGGGTGTCCAAGAAACAGTTCACAGAAAGAGGGAGTGATATCTGAAGACCTGAAGAGGTGAAGGGTGAGCCACACAGGCATTTGGGTGTTTTAGTCAGCTTTTTCACTGCTGTGACCAACAGATCTGACCAGAACAATTTTAGAGAAGGAAAAATGTATTTGAGCCTCATAGTTTCAGAAGTCCATAGATGGCTGGCTCCTTTGCTTTGGGCCTGGGCCCAAGATGAGGCAGGACATCATGACAGAAGAGTGTGTAGTAGAGGAAAGCAGTTTAGGACAAGCCACCAAGAAGCAGAGAGAGAGAGAGAGAGAGAGAGAGAGAGAGAGAGAGAGAGAGCATTCTGCTCCATAAGGACATACTCAAGGACATACATACCCCAGGGACTCACCTCCTCCAGCCACACCCTACCTTCTATAGTTGCCACCCAGCTAATACCTATCAGGGAATTAATGCACCAATCATTTCACCTCTAAACTTTCTTGCATTATTTCACACATGAGATTTTGGGGGACACCTAATACCTAAACCATAACAATGGGAAAAAAGACTTCCATCCTAAATGAACAGGGAACACAATGCTCCTTCAGTAGGAGGGAGTGTGGTGTGGATGAATGGCACAGGGGCCTGTGTGCCTTATGGAATGGTAGGGGGAGTGCATCAAATACGCAATCTGAGAAGTAAATGGGAATGGGAGAATATATCTAGCTTGTTTCCCAAACTTTGATGACTACTTGAGCCACCAAAGTACAGATTGTTATTCAGTAAGCCTGGAATCAGGGCTGAGGTTCCCCTGCCCCTGCTGGTTTACAGACCATCCTTTGGGTAGTAAAGTTAGGAGCAATTGAATCACTTTAACTTCTCTTCTGAAGAAGATGGGAAGCCACTGGAGAGTGAGATGATCTGACTTACATTTTTTAAAGGCTCATACTGACTACTACTTGGAAAATTGACTCTGGTGGGTCAGGCTTAGAAACAGCACCATTTAGAAGGCTACTATAGACTAGCTTGGTATTAATGAGTCTTTCCTGAGGAAAACATTCTTTTTATTCAGGTACCGATATGAGAAGTCTTCTTCTTTTTCCAATGCAACTCTGAGCATCTCTCCATGTCTCCTAGAGTCAAGCAGTCAATTACCAATCTCAGTTATGGAAAAATCCAAAATAAGTAATGGTAAGTTGATGATTGATGATGATGATTTACTTTAGCTTTTATATATGCTTTAGTATGGACCAAAACATATCTGTATATTTTTTTCCTCTCAAAAACTTTACTACTTAAATTGAGATATCATAGTGCCATAAAAATTCCTAGAATATAAAGCAGTATATGATGAGGTCCTAAGAAAATATAAAGATGATCAAATGTTATGGAAGGGAGCCTTTGTTGCTGGTGACTAGGAATATCTTCCAGTGATTCTAAGATAGATGGACCTGGAAATCTGGGTAAAATGACTCCAACCCATACATATCTCAGTCCACTGCTCAGAGTGAAAGAAATATAGATTTTCCTCCTAAGTACACTTGATTTCTCATTCATTCTCTTTCCATCAGAATGTCAAAACCTTAGTTTAAATCTGTTCCTAAAACCTGCTCCCTTTTTCTCAGGGGTTACTTACACAATAGGGGTGCAGTTGTAGCAGGGGCACTCTTGATGTTCTCAGTCGCCTGTCAGTTTATATATCTAAAATCCCTCAGGTCAGTGTTTGATCATACCAGGTATCACGGTGGGGTCATATTATGTTTCTGCCTTTCTGAGCACAGCAGGTCCCTTTGGCACACAAGTGACAGTTTTGGACACAGGGAAATAATTCACTTTGCACATGAACTAGGGTGCAGGGAATTTTGTCAGCATGTCTAGCATTCCATTATGGCTGCACATGGCTCAGCAGTGCTACATCTGAGTCACACAGGGAACAGGGGAATCATTTCTTCTGTATCACCCTAGACATGGAAGCCCTGTGAGGAGCCTCCCTCCCAAAATCTACACACTTATCCACAGGTTGGCTTTTTTTGTTGTTGTTGTTTATTTGTTTGTTTGTTTGGTACTGGGAATTAAACCCAGAGGTGCTTAACCACTGAGTCACATCCCCAGCCCTTTTCTATGTTTTATTTAGAAACAGGGTCTTGCTGAGTCGCTTAGGGCCTCGCTAAGTTGCTGAGGCTGGCTTTGAACTTGTAATCCTCCTGCCTCAGCCATCCCAAGCTGCTGGGATTACAGGTGTGTGCCACCACACCTGGTGCTTATCTGCAGGTTTTTGCCATGTCTCTAGGACTCACTATGAACAGAAAGAATGAATTCCCACTTCTGTCTTCAATATCTCATAAAGGTAATATCTCAGTGCTGCACCCTCCTTCCCCTCCACTCCACCCCCAACTTGCTCCCTTCTCCTATCCTGGGGAATTGGTTTCTATACAGCCAGTATAGAAGCCCTTCTTTCATGTCAAATCTTCTATGTATTCTGTAAAGCCTTTTGGTTCCTCTAATATCCTCCTTAATACTACCTGTTAAGATGTCTTTTCCCTGGGCAATCGACATTTAAAATCTGGCTGTCTAAGTAAAAAGAAGGACCAAAGTACTACAAGAAACATGGCTTAGGGAAGGAAGAGTGGATATAAAATGTAATAACTTTACCTTCTCCTGCTATGGGAAAGGAAAGCATTCTAGAAGAAGAACATATAAAAATGGGGACAGACATTCAGTACATTTTCAAGCCAGTGGATGAGAGTGGAGGACTTGTTGATGGAATACAATGGATGGTCAATTCAATTGGGTCCTCATAAAAAGACAAGTAGCTGACTGAAGAGTCGAGCTCCATCTACATGCAATGCAGTCAGTAAAGACTTAGCTGTTGTTTGCTTTGGACAATCAGGAAAGAAACATGATAAAAATGACAAGGCAGCTATTTCGGAAAAATGGAAGACTTTGATGGAAGAATGTAAAACATCCAAGTTTAGAGTCCAGGAATTAGAATATTTTTAATGTAAAGGGACAAGTTACCAGGTAGGTACACAGATCTTTTTCTGTAGTGGAGGTTCCAGTCTCTTAAAATCTTTCCCTTAGACACAGTGGACACAAGGTTCACCCCAAACATGAGAGTGGGGTTAAATACAGGATATGAGGTTTCTGCACAGTAGCTCAGCATGTCCTGACACTGCTCAGCTAACATAGTCTTTTCTCCCACAACACTCTAGGCATTAGCTACAAGTGACTAGTGGGTACTTGAATGTTGCCAGTGTGAGCAAGGAACTGAATTTTTAATTTAATTTTTAGCAATTTGCATTTTAATAGCAATTCATGACCCTTGGACACTGTGCTGGGAGGCACTGATCTAAGGTGTCCACACTTAACTACTAAAGATTATCACCACATTTCTATAAATTAAACAAATGGTAAGGCCAGAATCAACATTAGATTTAATTTTTAGAAAAGGAATTCACATCACATTTTGAGAAACAGAGAAGAAATTGAGAGAAGATAAGTGAACATTCCATGATCACCTTGCTACTTTTCTAGAAAAAGCAGAATCAGGATAAAATCTCTGTGAGGGTGTAGTCTCCCATTGCCCTGCCTTATCCAGAGTTTGAAAGATGTCCACTTCAATTCTTCATGAACCATCATCACAATCAAAATTACTTTAAAGGTTATTAACAGGTGAAAGTAACTCCCACCTCATTAGATTATTAGGAGGATTCAATTTTAATATGCCTGCAAACCACTTAGCCTAGCATGTGGCAGAGAGGAGTCATTCAGATAGGTGATTACTGAAGACAGTTAATATTATCAATTGCATTAAATGGCTAAACTGTTCAAAGCTATACTTCATTTATGATAAGAGGTAATTAATTATCCTACCTCATATGGTCATATTATGACCAGACTTGGATGAAAGCATCTAAAAATTGTTAGATTTGAATTTTACTTTGAAAACCCTACCCAAAGTGTTCTTTATGTTGGAATATTTGTACTGCTCAAGCCTATAGGATTTGTAGGGGTTTGTTTTGTTTTGTTTTGCTTTTGGTATTAGGGCTTTAACCCAGAGGTGCTTAACCACTGAGCTGCATCCCCAGCTGTTTTTAAACATTTTTTTATTTTGAGACAGGGTCCCACTAAGTTGCTTAGGGCCAAACTAAGTTGTTGAGGCTGGCTTATGATCTTTCTGCCTCAGCCTTTCAAACTGCTGGGATTACAGTTGCATGTCACCACACCCAGGCTAGGGTTTGTAATATTAATGAGTTTGCTTCCAGTTACCTAAAACTGGTTAATCACTAACAAACAAACGTCATTGCAGGCAATTCAGCCCAGTGTTGCAGTATGAACCATATGAAATTTTGAATTTCAGATAAAACCTGGTCAACAATGTAATTACTTGTGATTTCTGCTGAAAAATAGGAAAGTTGTCTAAAAATTAAAATGAGAACGTCTTTGTTAAAAATTTGTTTGCTCCAAATAGAATATTCAGTGTTATTAGAATGTAAGGATTCAAATAACTCAACGTAGGTATAAAATAAAGACAGAAAATAAAAAGTAAGTGGTAGCCAGGCACGGTGGTGCACCCTGTAATCCCAGCAGCTTGGGAGGCTGAGGCAGGAGGATCTCAAGTTCAAAACCAGCCTCAGCAAAAATGAGGCACTAAGCAAGATAATGAGATCCTGTCTCTAAATAAAATACAAAATAGGGCTGGGGATGTGGCTCAGTGGTTGAATGCCTCTGAGTTCAATACCCAGTAAATCCTCCCCCCACCTGTAAGAAAAAAAGAAGTAAAGGGAACAAAAACAAGTAATAATAGACTTTCTTAGTCTGGGGGATTTAACTGCCTAAGATTGAAACTGCAAAATATTTTTCAAACCTACTCAAACTCCTATCAAATTAGGACTGTTGCAAATTTGACTTTTGCATTCTAAGTTTAGAACCAATTGTAGAAATGCACAGTAAATAAATTTGATAGTGATCCAGGTTTTTTTTTTTTTTTTTGTGATGCTGGGGACTAAACCCTTGTGCATGCAAGGTAAGCACTCTACCAACTGAGCTATATCTCCAGCCCAGTGATCCAGTTTTAATTCTCTTGTTTGTTTTTCTTTCAAGAATGTGAAGGGGATGCCAGCTCATCCATGTGGGTGTATGTGTTCCTGGGAAATCTTCTCCGAGGATTAGGAGAAACTCCCATCCAGCCTCTGGGTATTGCCTATTTGGATGACTTCGCAACTGAAGACAATGCTGCTTTCTATATTGGTAATACCATCTCAGTCACCTAGGGAATGTGAATGCCCAGTCTGCTCATTCCATTCTCTGCTAAATTGGGTGTGAAAGGTTTTATACTTCATTCCCCATTTCTTTAGTCAGCAAGCACACTTTTAAGCACACCCAGAGGATTAGGATGGTAACCTCATAAATTAGAAGGACCTATTGCATTAAAGAAAGAAATACCAAAATAAAAAAAATAGCTGTGAGCTCAACTGCAATGACATATGACCTTGTGAAAATATATTGATGGCCTTCAGATTTCATAGATTTTTTAAAATAGGACAAGTATACCACTGAGGCTTTTAAAAAATCATTTTTTTCCCACATCCCTAAAAACTGCTTTCCAGGCTATGAGCTCTGATTATTTAAAGAGTCTTCTTTTCCTGAGTGATAGGCAACAAGGAATTCTGGGGTTCGGCAGTAGGCAGGGTTGGACAAAGGAAAGTATAAAGGATAAGGGCAAGGCCCAAGGCTAACGAATCTCTGGAGAGATCCCAGAGAATAGATGAGCAACTGAAATCACAAAAACCAAAATAATACAGCAAAGGCAAACTCTTAAGATACGTCTAAGCAATGTTTACTGGATGCCTCATATCCTGGAACTAAGCTAGAAACTAGAGATATATGGCTGACTAAGACTTGTTCTCTCTTTTATGCATCAGTCTTTATTTCTTGGAGTTCTGATCTTTTGAAGGCCTAGCCTTCAGGGACAGAGGGCAAGATTTAAGTGGAAAAGGAACCACACCTAGGTTCACTGTATAAGCTTGCCCTGCCTATGCTTTGCAGAACTCCAGGTATTCTGCTTATAGCCAAGCAGGTTATAATTAAGAACAGGTTCTTGCTCTAAAGGAAAGCTGTAGTGTAAATCAGGAACCGGAACAGAGAAAAAGCTCAGTGATATATGCACTAGGCAATTACTCTGGGGACTAGAGGAAAGGTTGCAGCCAAAAAAGCATGCAGGTGCCTAAGTGTTCCTCTTCCGCTCTAAGAACTCGGAGTCTGCTCACTCTTTTAGCCTTGCTTCTATTCTAAAAAGGGCCTGGTCATAGTTAGTTTCCCCTCCAGGTAATTTTACCACCCAAGAATATGTGTATGTAATGAAAGATAGAGTGTAGATATTTTGCAGGCAAGAGCTACCTTTCTGTTTATTGGAAACCAAAATCTGTTCAGTCTGTTCCACTTACCTTCTAAGGCCACCCTTGCTGGTCATGAGCATTCTGGAGAGTACTTTCCCTGCTCCATGGTCTAGCTTCTTTGCCAGCTGCTTCTATTAATCTGTGTGGACTGCAGAACCTCATAGTAAATGGATACACTTTCTCAGTAAGGTAGAAGAAATCAATTTTAATGTCAAGATAGATGTTATGCTTAACTGACCATAAACATTTTTGAAAGACTATCAAAATGAGACTAATTCAAATTTTTAGCCATGGAGAATCTAACTGGGAACTAAAGTTTGCCTATTTTAGGAAATTAACAACTTCAGAGTCCTGGGGTTATTTTCTAACTAAGGGATAGTTAATGCATTAACAGTGTTCATTTATGTGCACATTTGAATTCAGCATAATGAATCCCACTATTATGTACAATTATAATTCACCAATTAGAGTAAATAATTAGCTGAGTATGGTGGCACACACCTGTATTACCCACAACTCAGGAGGCTAAGGCAGGAGGATTGGGAATTCAAAGCCAGCCTCAGCAACTTAGGCCCTAAGCAATTCAATAAGACTTTATCTCTAAATAACATATAAAAACTGGCAGGGGATGCAGCTCAGGGGTTAAGCACTCATGGGTTCAATCCCTGGTACCAAAAAAAGTAAATAATTAATTTTTAAAAAGTGTTTATTCTCCAAAAGAGAGAAATATTTGTTTCCTGATTCAGTACAGTTGGAAATTTGATGAATTAAACACAAACAAATGAGAAATTGAAACATTTATAGCTAACTGGATCTCACATTTCTTGTTTAAAATTTTATTAATATATCAAAGAAAAAATGGAAGTGTTTTTCTTTTCCTTTTTTTTTTTTTTTTAATTTTCTGCTACAGGGTGTGTGCAGACGGTTGCAATTATAGGACCAATCTTTGGCTTCCTGTTAGGCTCATTATGCGCCAAACTATATGTTGACATTGGCTTTGTAAATCTAGGTAAGGGGTTTATTTTTGCTTATTTATTTATCTTAGTTACTGTAACTTTTTAAATGGGGACAGTGTGGAAAATATCAAATTGCTTTTATTAATAAAATGACAAGGTTGTAATCTTTCATAAAATGAATATAACTCCATGTAAATATTTTGATATGATCATCACATACCTTAGTAAGTGAAATAAGAAAAATGAGCAGTGATCAGAATGGGATGACCCCTGGCTTGTTATTCAATGAGCCCTTTCTCACTTCTGGTTTGCCAGACTCAGTGCATCTCAGTATATCGAAGACTGAACACATGGTTCCTTGTTGGCTCTAGTTGGTTTCAGGTGTGTCAACATTTATTGCAGCTCCATGAATTGATAATATAGTTCAGGGCTTGCCAGAAACACCTATGATTGAAAGTCTCTGGCAACCAAATTTCTCTCTTTTTTCTTACCAAACAGCATCATAACAAGACTGGTATTCCATCCAGAAGATTGCTCAGTTAGAAAAGAAATATATTCCCATAGCTACTTCTTTGTTTCCAGCCCTGTGAGATGTAACCCCAAGAAATAGATGGCATTTATCTGTTGTTTTCTTTTAAAAAATAAGTCCCCAAATTACTTTGAAACAAGAAAACGAGTCACTAGGAAAAAATATCTGGAAGTGCAAATTGAAATCATGTATTAAACTTAAGTACAAAATTCTTACACTTTTTAAATAAAATAAACTCTAAAACACGTCCCCAAAATGTTGTTTATTCATTCATTTACCCCCTTAATATGATTTTATATTTACTGTAACCCATGTTATTGTACAGCAGTGAACACAAGAGTTGAATTCTTAGTCTTTGTGAAGTTTTAAAATCCAGTTGTAGAGACTCATATAGAGGAGGAAGAATAGATGTGATGAAGACTATAGAGGAGAATTGTTAAGCGGAGCAGTTAGCATGCAGTGATAAGCTCCTAATAACATTTACTAGGTAGAATGCAATGGCAACTGAGTCTACTTGTCAAAAGACATGTGTTTATTTTGTTGTCCTTTGAATGTGGGAGAGGTATAATGATATATTTTATAGGTTCCTACACAGAAAAAAAAAAAAACCACTTAGTTTGATTCAAAAATTCCAATATTTACTTTTTAGTACCATGAGAGATGATGTGCAAAAGTAAAGTTTTTAATGATACAGAAGATTGAAGTTTTATTTGCATATAAAAATCTGGCTTCAGACCTAGAATAGCTCTGAGATGTTATTAACCATATTAACCAAATTATTATCATTTAATAAATAACATTCTGATGATTTAACCTCAATAAGTCTTAAATTAGTCATCTGTGTAATGAGAGATTTGCACTAGATTTGGGCTGGAGGGTGCATGGCATAACTCTGAGAAAAATAAGGCAGATATTCCATAGGTAAATCAAATGAAGGTGGTACTGCTATGAGGCAGCTGGCGCATGAGGTTTTGATTGGCCTCCTCCTGCCAGGATTTTCACTGCAGACCCACAAAACACAGTGTGAGAATCATAAGACCCCTTCCCCAATTTAGACTCTATACTGTTAACAAAAGGAAGTTCATCCTTCACTAACACCCTATTTCCTTCAAGGAGTAATAATTATAATGTCCAGATTAGGAAAAAATATCATGTACGAATTATTAGGTATTTTACGATGTGATAGAGATGATGCTAGGATTTGATTTTTTTTTAAAGTAACTAAGTTCAATGCATTGGTTTTGCTTCACGTGCTACTTAGCCATCTTCTCTTTCAGACCATGTAACCATCACCCCGAAGGATCCCCAGTGGGTTGGTGCCTGGTGGCTTGGTTATCTCATAGCAGGAACCCTCAGTCTTCTTGCAGCTGCTCCTTTCTGGTGTTTACCCAAGAGTCTGCCAAGACCCCAAAGTGCAGAGGACTCCAATTCCTCCTCTGAGAAATCCAAATTTATTATTGATGACCACATAAACTATCAAACACCTCATGGAGAAAAAGTAAAAGTAATGGAGATGGCAAGAGGTAAGGTGGATTCTCCTTGAATTTGAAGTACTTTTAGTTTTCCTATTAGGACTTTGGGGCACTTGAAAAAAATACCATTTTCTTCCCCTCCTGTGTTAAATATAAAAATATAAAAGAGAGAGAGAGAAACTTTCAGGAAGTGGAAATGGAGTTCAAAACATGAGGTTTATATTACAGGAAAACTGATTGGCCCACATGATCAGAAGTCTGGACAGCCTTCCTTGCTTACACCAATGCTCTCACACCCCTCCCGTTTAGTCCTGCTCTTGTCTCCACCTGGGGTTGCTGCATTCTGTCAGTCTCAGTGGGCAGAAAGGAAGAGTGAATCTTCAGGGTTTTCAAGCCATTAGCAGCCAAGAGCCATCCATTTGAGAAATGTGTACCAATGCATGTCTCCCACTAGCCATCAAAGGAATCAGTGTGGAGCAGGCAAAAAGGCCTAGTGAATTCCCTTCATGGAAATGGGTGACCAACAAATCCTCCCCTTCCTCATTTCCCTTAGGGAATATTGTATTCACACTATAGAAATTCTTCAGTTTCCAACTGGTTGGCTGTAATAGGAAGAAAAGAGAATGCCTAAGCTCCTTTCTAATTCTGAATACATGTGTGAAGTGAAGGTAGTATCCATATTTCTTTTCTTGTGATTGTGATCCCCGTTTGAAGACTAAAGACCAAAAAACACCTGTGACTCTTATTTGGACAATGAGAGGTTATTCTCATTCCCATAGGATTTAACCCTCATCAGGGTTCCTAGCTGATGTACAGCTCTAACAGTCTGTCTTACATGCTTGCAGAAGCAACTGTCTATGTCTGAATCGAACCTGGCCAGATTGGAGTCCAGATGTGTACATATGACATGTTTGTGCACCACATTGAATGCTCCTGAGCACTATGTCACAGGGACCCAGCTATCTACATCCTGCTGCTACATTTCTGTCTTCTACCAAGGGTGACACTGTTTTTAATTATTTCATGTTATTTGTCTTACAGATTTCCTTCCATCGCTGAAGACTCTTTTTGGAAACCCAGTGTACTTCTTATATTTGTGTGCAAGCACCATTCAGTTCAATTCTCTCTTTGGCATGGTAACATATAAACCAAAGTACATCGAGCAGCAGTATGGACAGTCTTCCTCCAAAGCCAACTTTGTTATTGGTGTGCTGTCCTTCATAATTTCCCATGGTTACTGTCTCACATGCATATTGCTAACTTTAGTAATCATAGATTGTTTCAATATTTAGACTGAAGGTAACTTAAGGTATTTTAGATGAACTTTAAAAATAAGTATAAAAAATCCAGTAGAGTAAAATACTTAGTCTGTGGCAAAACTGTGTAGCAAGAATTATTTATAACTGTGAGTGTGTGACCCAGAAAGAACTGCTTGCAGTTTTTGAAGAAATAGAATCACATAGACCTACTGTGTACTTTATTAAGACATTGTTAATGCTGGATATTTGTGTTTCAAGTTTAGCTGAGACATCACACCTCTGGCCATTTTTCATGAACAGTTTCTAGGATTATATAAAATGGGTATTTACATTAGGTTAAAGAGTATTCACCAAAAACCAAAGCTTATATTTGCTCAGAGTCAAAGGATTTTTCTGACTCCTGCCATTACAGTTATTTAAAGGGTTTGAATTCTGGCACTTCAGTACAATCAGTAATGAGAAAGAAATTTAAGGACCAAGAAAAGCTTAAAGAAATGAATGAAGAAGAGCCAGAGTCTTCATGTAAGTGAGCAACTGGAAGTAACTGGATACCTTTAAAACTTAGATTATTCCTTTAGTTCATGAATATATCATTTAATCTTACTGTTTCAAGGCACAAAATATACTCTATTTCTTATGACATGTTATTTTATTATACTCAATGATTAAAAATAATTCATTTTTCATAAAAAAAAATTTAAAAATCTTTTTATGGCTGGCACGGTGGCACATGTCTATAATCTCAGCAATGTAGGAGGCTGAGGCCAGAGGATCACAAGCTGAAAGCCAGCCTCAGCAACTAAATGAGGCTCTAAGCAACTTAGTGAGACACTGTCTCTAAATTAAAAAAAAAAAAAAAAAATTAAAAAGGGCTGAGGATGTGGCTCGGTAGTTGAGTGCCCCAGGGTTCAATCTCTAATATTAAAAGAAAAAAATAAAATGAAACAAAAAACCTCTTCATATATCTATCTCTGAGAGAGGAAAGCATATTTTGTACTTTTAGAGATATAATTTTCCTGTAATGATCCCTGATAATGGGCACTTAGCAGATACTAAATTAATCAACCCTTCAAATTTGGATTACTCTCCAAAATTCTAGATGATAAAAGGTTCGATTACTAAATTTTTTTTTGCTTTAACATTATTGTTTCATATTATTATTGACCATTTTACCTGAAGAAACATTTTAGAATTATTTTTCCCAAACCCCATCTAAGTCAATCATGAAAAAGAAAAAGGAAAATGAAGAAGACCATCTTCTCCCCAGGGATTGCAATGGCAGGACACACCTTAGCGTGTGCATAATGATGAATAAGTTTTTTATTTAAAAATCATGGTACATCACTTAGCTCCAGAGGAAATGGAACCTGGGACAGAGGGAGAGCTAGCTGTTTCTATCTGCACATTCACATTTTAAAAATTAGGATAAAATATTAGTGTTAAGTAACTTGGCTCATGAGTAACTGCTTCTATTTAATTATTTTCTATTATCTGTTTTGTTTTTAAGATACTAATCAAGTGCCTTTTAGCTGACTTTTGTCACTTTGGGGTTCTGGAATACTCTCATTTGCCACACCCACAAATATCAGTTCAGCTGGAGAAGCATTTCTCCAATTGCGTGATCATGCCCCCCCCCTTCAAGCTTGGCGGCTTTCTAATATGATCACTTTAATGTTAGTTCACATAGCCCGTACTCATCTCAAAAGGGATGGAACAAATTACCCTTGTGTTAATATCTATCCACATGTGATGAATGCATTTTTAAAATAAAGTCATATAATAGTAAACTAATAATAATTATATATTTGATATTTTGGGTTCTATAAAACTTAGTTAAGAGGCTGAACATACAATTTAGAAAGAAAGAACAAAAGAAGGTAGGTGGAAGGAAGGAAGAAAGGAAATTTGCTCGTTGCTCATTAAAAATAAAACACTAGATGTCAGTGTTTTATTTTCACTTAACTATTTCATCCTGGGTTGTGAGTCAGAGGCTTGAGAATTTGAGATGATTGTTTATCACAGCACATGCTGAGTTTGTAGTTGTACCTGTCTGATGGCTAAAATTTATACAAGTTTCAACTTTTCTTAGTATTTTGAAAAAAAAATTATTGTCTCAAAACCTGAAAATAATGTGGGCATCAGGGTTGACTGATATACAGTATGAGAAATGAATTCTAATTAGCAAAGAAGTTGTTTACTGTTGAGTGCCAAATTGTTCTCTGTTGTTATACCTTTTATAGTCTAACCAACAGGGTACCAAAGAGCCTCTTTTCCCAAGTCTTTCCCAGCACAGAGATTCCATTCTTTATTCTACTTCCAATACGTCTCTGTAAACCTGATAGAAGTTAATTTTAATTGTGCCAGATATTGTGTTAAGAACCTTTCATGAATAATTTCAATTCATTACCTTAACAACATGTAAAGGTTGAGCGTTCCAAACTCAAAATGCTGACATGAAGCCACAAGTGAAAAATTCCATGCCTGACCTTAAGCATCTGTCACAGTTACAAGTTCAGGCACATCTAAAGTATTATATAAAATGACCTCCAGACTATGTGTATAAGGTGTATATGAAACATAAATGAATTTCTTGTTTAGAATCGAGTCCCATCACTAAGATGTGTCATTATGTATTGGCAGATATTCCAAAATCTGAAAAAATAAAAACAAAAAAAATCTAAACTACTTCAGTCCCATTCAAATAATGGATGCTCAAGTAGTCACTCCACATTACAGGTGAGGAGACATGTTTAGAGACATTCAGAGAATGACCTGCAGTTGCACAGCTATGAAGTGGCAGAATGAGATCCAAACCCAAGCAGTGGGGTTCCCAGGGTTCAAGCTCTCGACCACTCTGTGGGACCTCTTCCTAGAGTTGATTTTAACCCACATTTATTTGATAACTAAGTGAGGTTGCTTACTATTTATCAAGGACACTATCTTCCAAATCCCTTGAAGGCTAGGTGGTATATTCTAGTCATAGAAAGCCTGGACCTTGACTTTGGACTCCCTGCTTCCAAAGCTAGCTTTACCAGTTGCTAACTATGACAGTGAACAAACTGCTCTCTGAGTGAAGATAATAGTATGCCTACTCTTGTAGTGAAGAGTAAATGCTTAGCTAAGTGGACTATACATTATAAGTAAATAAATATATGGTGTTCTTGTTGTTACTGGAAAGGAGACCAGACCAAGGGCCTAAGAAGCTGGACAAAAATAAATACATAAATTTTGTTGGGCCAGAAAATGGAAACCAATACTTCTGTTTTTTCAATTCCCTACTTTCCATGTGTCTATTATTTTTTTATGTACAACCTTAAGGAGCATTAATGGTCACATACTTGCCACCTGACTGTAACTGCTAACTCTGGGGTTAGACCAGAAAGACATCAATTCATAGATTTATTGATTAATCAATTTATTGATTTCAGTACTTATTCATTTACTATTCCATGTTAAACATTATACCAGGAAGAGTTCTGAGACTCTGACTCCATGACTTTCATGAAAAACTCTTGATACATGTTAGTAAATGATAGTGACTGAATATTTCTATAAGTTAAACTGACAAAACAGTCTAATATTACATCAGGAAATATTTCTCTCTTTTTTTTGGTATAATTTTTTGGGAGATCTATGTGAGTACACTTAGATTTCTTGGAGATTCACAGAATAACATATTTTCCTCGTTCCCCTCAGGGCTCATCAACATACCTGCAGTGGCCCTTGGAATATTCTCTGGGGGAATAGTCATGAAAAAGTTCAGAATCAGTGTATGTGGAGCTGCAAAACTCTACTTGGGATCATCTGTCTTTGGTTACCTTTTCTTCCTTTCCCTCTTTGCTCTGGGCTGTGAAAATTCTGATGTGGCTGGACTGACCATCTCCTACCAAGGGTATGTTTCTTCATCATACAATTTGAGGAGATTGATTTGTTTATTAGAGTTTTAAAATAAGGTAATTTTACTTTTAAGTATCACAACTATGGAAAAGGAATTATTGCTTTATCATGGAATAACTCGTGATACTTTAAAACTTTTGCTTTTGTTTTGTTGCTGTCACCAAAATTTTGTCATTTCCTTTATATTTGAATATCTTATGGAAACATAAAAGATGTCAAATCCACACCTTGCATTAGAAAATCAACCTGATAAATAACACAATCTGATAGTGGAAATACAGACATTGAATCTTGTTTCTTCCTGTTCTTAATGGAGTGATGTTTTATGGATTATTTAAACCAGTCCAGCTTCCATTTCCCCAGTTTTAAAATAAAAATAATAATTTCCTGTTAAGATTTTCTAAGGCCTAGTAAGATCTTGTAGACCAAAGTGGTTAGTACTCGTCTGACACAAAGTAAGTGTTCCATTGGAAGCAATTGTTTTTCCTCCCTTAGGGAATTTGGGTAACTAGACTGGTCTCTCTGCCATCCTCTATGGTCTCTGTTGAACTCAAATCACAGGGAATTTCAGGAGACAATATCTGTCCCTACTGTAGTGATTCCCACAACAGCTAGGTGTCTTACAGTGGATCAGAAGAATATTTACTATTTATATTTATTGTACCACTGTCATCCATGGTGGGTGAATAGATTGCTTAGTCTCCAGAGTCTGACTCTCTTAATACAAGGCAAGATCTTGTGGTTCCTATTTCACCATTTTTTTTATGGGTCCTTCCCATCACTCTGATTCTTAACACAAGTTCCCAGAGGTGACTTCCTTTATTCTTTCACCCATCTTTACATTATTTGTTTAAAAATATTTTTGGGCCCCTTTGATGGACCAGGCCGACCTCCTGGATTATATCTGCCTGACTACCTGAACCTTTGCCAGGGGCCCAAGGCAAGCACTCTGGGCACTATTCTAAACCTGTCTGTTTGGGCCTCTTGCTTCTTGCTCTCCAGCTCTCTTCCTACTCCTTCTTCCATGCTTATCTATCTTGTCTTTATGCTCTGACTTCTGTTGCCTTCATTGAACTGGTTTCTTCTGTTGACTGAGCACAAGTTTTACTTTTTACCATTCAAAATGTTCAGGAAAAACAGTTTGAAGTCCATAAATTATGTCTTCTTGGAGTTCTTACAGTAGTATTGTTAGACTCAACTGGGTAAATTGTCACCTTGGTAATCAACAACATAGATTAAGAATGTTGTACATATTAAATTGCAAGAAGATTCTGGATAGAGTAGAAATCCTGTGTCATCTTTAACAGTCCCTATGATCCTTAGGGTAGATGGACAGTGGGAGACAAATTAATATTTTTTACTTTACAAAACATGCTAACTTTTATTTTCTCACTTGTATCCTCCAAACATCTTTATAAGCTTATTTTTGTTATCTTTGTAACTATTTTCCCCAAATTAAAGTCTGTCAATGGTAAATCTTGAATTTGAATACATGCATGACTCAAAGTCTAGTGTAATTTCTACAAGAACATATTTTTCTAAGTTATAAGCAAACATAAACAGATAGCAACCTCAATAGCTGTTGAGGTTTACATTGAAAGTATATTTACATAATCAAAGATTATGGTAAGATGGTTATGCTGCTACTGCCAATGATGGCGATTTTGGTATCTGGGATTGAACCCAGGAGTGCTTAACGACTGAGCTGCATCCCTAGCCTTTTTAGATTTTGTTTGTTTGTTTTTTGAGACAAAGTCTCGCTAAGTTTCTTAGAGCCTGGATAACTTGCCGAGGCTGGCTTTGAACTTGTGATCATCCTGCCTCAGCCTTCCAGGTTGCTAGGATAAAAAATGTTCACCCCTGTGCTTGGAAAAGATTATATATTTTTAAAGAAATAAAAGGTAGTATATTCTTTGAGAATTAGCCTTTTCAAAGCAGTCACTTTGAAAGACCATAGTAGCATTGCATTGAAATAAGGTAATTGTTTAAAACATTTTGAAACTCCTCTTTTGAAATTGCTTTCCACATGTTTTACAATATCAACAATAATGGAAAATACTTAACTTTTGAGAATTATTTTGCTATTGGAAGCAGCCAAAAGAAATGGCAATATCACTGGGAAAATCTTTCACCTTTCAGCATAAATGTTTTGAAAGAAAAATTTCATTAGTATTTAAACATTTTGGCATATTTGTTAAAAGTCTTCTTATAATTAAAATATTGAATTACAACTCCCCTGTCAACACTTTTTTCATAAAATTTGTATGTGATTAATTTCTTCCTTAGGTGTAAATTTAAACTTATTTTCAGTAATATAAAATAATGCTTCCCATGAATTGCCCCACAATGCTTTGTTCCAAAAGAAAATTTTGATTATGGACACTTGAAAAAACACTGTAGACAAGCTTTAGATGTGGGAATAACAGAAACAATTCTTCTGAAATAATGAGAGTAACCCTGATGTGAGATAAAAACCTAGAACCAAGGCGCCTGGCAATGTTCTACTTCCAGGTTTGTCACCAAAAAATGATGTGATTTTTGAGCAAGTTACCTACACACTTTGGACCAGACCTTCCATCTGTCAAATGAGAGGCTGGCCTAAATTACTTTAAATTTCTTTCCAGTTCCAACCTTCCACAGTCTCAGCCCCATAGTATTCATAGTGGCCTGATTTTTTACTTTCAAAGACTAATTTTAATAGTTTCAGATACTAACAGCCTCAGCTAATAGTTAATACTTTATGGAAGAAAATAGGATTGAATATTCCTGTAGGGCTTTCCAGGGGTCCTGAATACCCTTTCACTCTTTGGAGTGATTTTTAGATGATCAAATCCATAGCAGTTTGAGGGCCATGTAATTGAGGCCAAATGACTGATTCCTTCTCCAAAGTAAAATACAGTTTTTCTATAATGATTGACTTCCTACAATTCTTATTTCTTAGCCTACCATGTGCAAGGAATTCTTGACTAGAGATGAAGGAGCGAATAAAACAAATGGATCTTACCCTCATTGAATATACATTCCAGTGTGTTATTTGTTCATATAAGTCCCTCAAATATCTTTGTTTAAAAAAAAAAAAACAAGGGTAGGGATGGGCAAAGACATAAATAAATTCAAAATGGAAGAGGAAAAGGTGAATTATAAAGACCCAATGGGTGTAACATAGGGAGCAGATATAAGTGGTTACCATTGCTATAGTGTCCTTTGAGAAGAATAGAGGGCTACAAATAGTGCAAAAGAGAAAGAGTTAAAGTGTTAGACCACCTGGCATGAGGAAAATTGAGGGAGGGGGAATTCTGATAGAGATGAAGGGAGAATATGAGAGAATAGAATAGAACAAAAGGAAGGGAAAGAAAAGAGAGAAACCAATCAATATGCAAAATAACCATACAAAAGAGCCAGCACCTTGAGGGTAAATATTGTTTTATTCGTACTTATAGCCATCTTCCATCTTCTGAAAGCTAAAATTTAAGAGGTTTCAAATAAAATTTTAGGACTAAATGATCAGATAATTTATTGATATAACATGTGTAATCAGTAAGCAAGAATGATATCAGACATGGAAGAGATCCATACTGTGGAGAATATACAGGAGGAAGGACAGGTGACCTTAAAATGCATTGTTGGTAAGACATCAACAAGTAGATGGGTAGCTCCTACAAACGCTGAAAGTGTGCTGGATGCTAACTGTTTGGCTGTTTTTTTCTGACATCTTATCATTAGCACTGTTCATTCTTTTGATATTCAGAAACTCATGAAAGAAACAAACCCCCACCCACACACACCTGAAGTGCAATGAAATTGGGTCATAAATGGTTCTAGAAGTTTACTTTCCTCCCTTGTAGTCATGCTCCTGCACTTTTGCATATAAACACATTAGAGGATCCCAGAGGCAGGAAACTGGAGCTAAAAAGTGGGCATTGTGTGAATTTGTAAGCTTTCAAGATAATTTTCAAGAGGAAGCTGGGTAGTAGTCAACTCATTTAAGTATCAGACACTAGCATTTCGGATGACAACTGTGTTTCCAAAAGGCAACTTTGTTAGCACTATCATGCATGTCTCTCAAGAACATTGACTTTTGAAAATATTAGGGTGCTGCCTGCTAAGAGGTAATGACTTATGCTGTTGCATTTCTTTTCAGAACCAAACCTGTCTCTTATCATGAACGAGCTCTCTTTTCAGATTGCAACTCAAGATGCAAATGTTCAGAGACAAAATGGGAACCTATGTGTGGTGAAAATGGAATCACATATGCATCAGCTTGTCTTGCTGGTTGTCAAGCCTCCAATAGGACTGGAAAGAGTGTTGTAAGAACCTCCTCCCCCACAATATATGCCCAAAAGCCTGTTATTCTGTAGAACTACCCTACCTTCAGGGACCCAGCAGCAGATCACACTAATAGGAGCTCTGGCTCTTACCCTTCCCGTTCTCTTTCGTGTGAAAATAGGAAATTCATCACCATTCCTAGTAGATCTAAAGTAAACAGAGAGTAGTCTATTTCTCTCATTTTGCTTAGAAGGAGTATTAGTCATGAATAATGAAGTCCCCATCTTATGATTATATCAAGTTTCCTTACCCAAAGACCAATAGTCCTTGGAGATTTTAGGGGCATGACAAATAGAAGCCTGTAGTAGGCAGTCTATGTCAAGAGGTGCTGGCCCAGGGGTCCAGGAGATGATTATTTTAGAAGGCTGATAGTTGCGGAAAGTTCTGAGATAAGGAAATCTGTGTGGTAATGAAAAGGATAGGTGGGATAGAATGGAGGGTTTCTACATTATAGAAGAGAGATATGAACTGGAAATCTCAGTAAGAAGCTGTCTCTGTTAGTACAGACTGCTATAACAAATACACCATAGACTGGGTGGCTGAAACAACAAACATTTCTCATAGTTCTAGAGCCTAGGAAGTTCAAAATGAAGGTGCCAGCAGATCAGGTGCCTTAAGAGGGTTAGCTTCCTGGTTATCTTCTCCTTCTTCCCTCAGCTGGCAGAGAGGGAGGGCAAGATGTCTCTTATGAGGGCTATGACCTCATGACCCAATTCCCTCCCAAAGGCCTTCCATCTAAATACCATCACATTGGGCATTAATATTTCAGTATGAGAATTTAGGACAAGCATTTGGTTCATAATGAAAACCAATTGTGAAGGATATTATGCTCTTTAATCTTAAGTGACCCTTGTAAACACGTTTACATTCCTGCCAAAACATGGGATCTTCCTTACACTCATTGTGTCAGACCACTTGTGACTAATGAAATCTGCAGTGTTAAAGGGTTGAGGGTGGACCACATGTATAAGCTTATCAGCTGAATAGAAATGCTTAGATAAATGCACATGTAGATAAAGTTTGTTGTTTTTTTTTTCCAGATTATTTTTCTGTTGTTTTGGCATTTTATTCAAATCAGAAAGGATTGGCCTCTTGCAACAGTGAATAAGACTTTGACCTGTCTGAAATTTGAATTTTCACCATCATCTTCTCTTCTATTTCCTTTCCATTTGTTCCTTCCAGCTACTACTCTTTTGCCCAGAACTGCATAAAAGTTTTTCTTAACTTGAGTACCCATTACACACCACAGCATAAGATAGGTGCTTTTAAAAACAAAATTACATTTAAATCTTTGGTCTTCAAGTAATTGGGTATTTTATATATTTTCTTCGTGTGAGAATTGAGACACTGAGATACAAGGAACTAGTATTACACATCTAATGAGTGTTAGGAGTCACAATTCAAACATTTTCTCTCCCCCCACACCTTTTTTGGTACTGGGGATTGAACTCAGGGACATTTGCCCACTGAGCCACATCTCAGCCTTATTTTATATTTTATTTAGAGACAGGGTCTCACTGAGTTGCTTAATGCCTCTCCATTGCTGAGGCTGGGTTTGAACTCACCATCCTCCTGCCTCAGCCTCACCTTGAGCCTCTGGGATTATAGGCGTGTGCCACCACACCCAGTTTCTCAAACATTTTCAACTTAACAACAACAAAAACTGTATTGCTACTCTTCCTAGAAAAGGAAATGTCAGCTTTATTTTAATTCTTTATCAAAAAATCACAAACTCTTCTGTGATAAAAATGACAACTAATTATAAATATATATGATATATATTTAAGAACATATACATACAATGAAATGAAATTTTACAAATGATTTTTACAGAAATAAACTATTGAAGGATTTAAAAAGTTGTCTCTCTTCAGTCAAACTTCAGTTGAAATTTTATGATTTTTTTTCCTAACAACCAACATAAATTCCCCCAATATGCACATTTATTTAACAATTTTTATCAAATATCTAAAACAAAGGGCCAACTGGGTGTCTATTGATAACAAAGCAGTGTCTGTCTGTATCAAGATTGTATTCTAATGGGGAAATAATGTTTAACAATAGAAAAACAAGTAGGTGATATCCGGATAGGCATCGTGAAAAAAATAAGTTAGGCTGAGAAGATGGAGTGATGGGGGGTGCTATTTTGAATAAGTGGTTGTAGAAATGCTCACTAGTTAAGTATCTGAACAGAAACCTGAAATGAGGGTACCATCCATGTAGTTTTTTGGAGAGGAACTATGTTGATAGAGGAAATAGCAAGGCCATGAGGCAATAAGGAACTTTCCATGTTGGGGAGGGGGGTATCAGGGGCAAGGGCCATATGTGTGGTCAAAACAGGAGAGCAGGGAGGGCATTGATCAACATGACGGAGAATGTGTAAACAACTATAAAGATTTGGGATTTCATGTAAATGTATAATGGCAACCACTGAAAGGTTGAAGATGTTGATGCAACCCAAGTGCCACTTTTTAAAATATTTACTTTGGTTAGTATGTGGAAAACAGACTATAGCTGAATAAGAGTAGAAACAGGTTGACCACAAAGAGACCACTGCAATAATCAGAGCAAGAAATAATGTGACTTAGACCTGGAAGTGGTAGTAAAGGAGGTCAGGTGCGGTTGGATCTAGTAAAATTTTCTTGATTGTTCTGCAAGATTTGTACTTTTTAGACCAACCATCTGCTCTTTGATATTGAAATATCATATCTCTAGGGATTTCCCCTTGTGCAATATACTTTAACACATAAAAAAGACTATTTTTTCCATTTTTATATAATGAATTTATACTACACCATAGAATCTTTTTAAATAAATATCATTGATTTTATTTCATTATTTCCTCAATAATTGGACTTTCCTGTATTGTATTGCAGATATTTTATAACTGTACTTGTGTGGGAATGGCAACCTTTAAATCAGGAAATTCTTCAGGCGTGGTGGGCAGATGTCAAAAAGATAATGGATGTCCCAGAATGTTTCTGTATTTCCTTGTAATTTCTGTCATCACCTCCTATACTTTATCCCTAGGTGGCATACCTGGATATATATTACTTCTGAGGTGAGTACTGATTCTCTCCTCACCAATTTGATGTAAGACATAAATTCTTTTTCTGTGGAAAATCATGATACCTCATAACCTTTTCAGGGAATTTGCCCCACACCCTTGTTCCACTTTTATGTGGCTTCCACTTTAGGTTTTTATACAAAATGTAGATGAACAGAATTTTTTAGTAAAAAATGTTTGGAAACTGTTGGTCTAGAGCAGTGTTAGTGCCTTTGTCACTGTAGTTATTCAGTAAATACTGTAGGTTGTTTCTAATGTTGGTGATAGTATTAACTAGCACAGATAAATTGTGTTTTAGATGAAATACACTTTTACCAAGTTATGGGAGATATAATTTATAAGATAATTCAAAAGTTCACCTAATACCACAATGTTTGTGTTTATTATTTTGATCTATAGGTTATGATTTTTCTACATATTCTTGCATTTTATTGGAATTATTATGGGTGATTTCATGGCTTTGAATCCATTGAGATTCCCAATGGATGCATATTGTGTCAATGCCTAAACATTTTTGCATATAAAACCCTTATTTTTATAATGATGCATTCCTTTGCATGTTTTAAATTGATATGTAAAAGGACATATACAATAAGTTGAAAAGTCCAAATTTACTGCAAATCAATCTTTTGTGACATGACTTGAGTGGTTTTCAAATTAATTCTCATATCCAAGGATGAATACTAAGTTTTTCTAGGCTGAAACTTTTCAAAAGTATTATGTGCAGTTTTTAATTTCTCAGTTTTTATTATGGAAATCAATTAAGAAAGAAAAATAGGAAATAGAGCTTACCATCTACAAATTTGCAGTTCTCAATGGTTTAAGAGATATCTGTGTTGAAAATTGGGAGCATGAGTTTGAGAAATGGACAAGCTTTGCCCTTCCGTTTTCATACCTGTGTGGCTACTTCTTTAACACCTAATACTGTGCCAGGTCGTTAGCTGGGCCAAGTGAAAATCAGATTGCTTCCTGTAGAAAGGAGTCACTTGAATGAACCATGGTGAATGCCCATGTTAGAAGGACTGTCTTGGACTGAAGGAGAACAATCATGATGTGTGCCTCTTTTAAAGCAGAAACTAAATGGTGTGATTTATTGGAAGTATTTAGCGACATAGTGGTTATACATCATTATGATTACTACTATTAAAATCCACAGGTCAAATAAAGTCATAACGTCATATTAATGATGTTACTGTTGTTTTAAGTATTCTTGTACTTTTCTGATGAGTTCAGATCCCCATTATTTAGCAAAAATGTTTGGCATGAAGTAGTGACTTATCAAATTTGATCAATTTGGCCCTGTGCTCTTAGATCAAAAGTAACAAAACCTAGTGACAGCTTATTGATCTTTTATTATTGCTTCAAATTTTTGCAATTTCTTAGGGAAAATTTCTTTTTTCTGAGCTTTGCTGTGTTGCTAATTAAGCTTATGATTTTACTTTATCCAATGCCATTAGAATATGTCATCTATGGGTAATTTACCTTCTAGAAATAGTAACTCTAAACTCACTGAAGCAGTGCATATGACGGAACACAGCTTTTACACATTTCATCCTCTCCATGTGGGCACCTAGTGGGTTCTCTACAAATGCTGCTTGAACTTAAACATCATTTTGCGTATGTTAAGGTCATTAACATTTCTACTTGTTTTCATGGGTCTTATTTATTCATTTGTAAGAGTGCTTTTGTTGATTTCAGGTGCATCAAGCCACAACTTAAGTCTTTTGCCCTGGGTATTTACACCTTAGCAATAAGAGTTCTTGGTAAGTATAATCTATGATCTAATTTAGGGTGCTCATCATAAGTATATTTTGAAGACTTTTCTGAATATTTTTAGAGAATTACCATGCATAGCTAAATAATACAAGTGGCTGAGGCTATATTCTTTTTCTTTTCTTCCTTTCTTTGTTTATTCTTTCCTTCATTTCTTTGACCCCTTTCTTCTTGTGTCCCAGAAATATTTACTGGGTACTGTGCTATCCTAGAGATAAAATAGAGATTTTGTGAAAGGAATCACAGTTTTTGTTTAACACTCTTCCAACACTTTTCTGTCGTCATAAAATCCATGGACCTTATGAGAGAGCCCTCAGAGAGAAAGCCAAATATTACTCAAAAAAGGCTGAAGACTAAAAATATTTTTTTTCAATTATTAAAATGGAAAGAATCCTTTTGAACTGCTCTCAATGCTCATCCCTAGGATATGACATTAGTTAGCAAGATCATTTAAAGAAAACAAGGGGATTTAAGTAGACAATTCTTTAAAATATAATTGTTTTTCTGACTATGCAAATTTTTAATATGCATTGGTTAAAACCCAAATAAAACAGTGAATGAAATTGATAAGATTTCTGTCCTTAAAGAGTTCACAGTCTAAAGAAGAAAATAAAATAATTGTAAACATTCCTCTGAAATTTGACAAAAGAGAACTATATAGGAAGAAAAACCTGAAGCTTTTTAAAAATTGAAATTTGGTTTACATAGATCTTGATATCAAATGGTTGGGTATGAAGATACCATATAATCCTAGTGAAACTGGGAAAGAAACAAACATGAAGGTAGTGCCCTCATGGCTCACTGCAGTTCTACAATATAAAAACAGAGATTCTCTAGAAGAGATTAGATGTTGAGCCTGATGTATATCCCTGGCTGGAACTGACCTCAGTATCTATTTGTCTTTAGGATTATAGATGTAACCTACAAAGTAAAAACAATTCTAACTAAAGGAAATGATTTATAAAAATGATGTGATAATAATAATATTTGAAAATGCCAAAAAGTAAACAGAGTCAAGAAACAAATGATAATCTGTGAAAGTTTTGTAATTTATATAACAAATATATAATATCTCCATTATAAAGAGATTTAAATTTTAAGAAAAAGACCACCAAACAACCAAATAGAAAAATGGCTAAGTCTGGCGTGGTAGTACGTGCCTGTAATTCCAGCAGCTCAGGAGGCTGAGGCAGGAAGATCACAAATTAAAAGCCAGATGCAGCAAATTAGTAAGGCCTAAACAACTCAGTGAAACTGAGGGATGGGGATGTGACTCAGTGGTTAAGCACCTCTGGGTTCAATCCTTGATACCAAAGGTGAGGGGGGATAGAAGTCCCACCTAACTTCATTTCTTCCATAAAAATTTCAGTGTGTACTTCTAATTATAAACACAATGGTTTCCTTTGGTCTAATGATTATCATAGCTTAAAAATAACTTTTTTTTGTATCAGTGAATATACACTTAATGTTCAGCTATTTAAAATTATATATTTCCTTATACATGCTATTTGAATCAACAAAGTTCACACATTGAACTTAGCTGATATAACTCTTAAATCTCTTTTAATTTATAGGTTTTACTTCCCTCTATCATTTTTTCCAATTATTTATTGTGAAAAACTCTTCTAAAGAAGATTTTAAAAAATTATAATGAATGCCTGTATAGCCTTCATTTGGATTCATCATATGTGTCAAAAAGACACTAACCTTTCTTTCTTTCATCATATATATATTTTGCTGAATCATTTGTAAATATGTAGTGGACATTCTGACACATCACTGCTGAAGACCTCAGTCTGTATTCTCCTATGAGAGCAAACATGGTCTTATATACCCCCGGTACCATTTTGGCAAGTAAGAAACCCAACATTGATATGATACTTTGCCTATGATATATTTCACATTCAAATTTCTTTTGCTGTAACAATAATAACATCTATAATACTTTCCCGCTTTTGATTGAGAGTTTATCAAGGGCCACACATTGTATTTAGTTACCTTTTTGTCTCTAAAAATCCTTCATTTTTTAAAAAGAGGCAAAGCCAGTTGTTTTGTAGAATATTCCATCATTTGGAATTATCAGTTTGCTTTTTTCCCCCCATAGCTTTATTTAGGTAAAATTGAAAAACAATAAAATGCACATATTTAAAGTATGCAGTTTGATCAATATGACATGTATGCAACCAACATGATCAATATTAAAAAGAATTTCCATTGCTTTTTTAAAAAAATGAAATCATGCAGACTGTGATTCCTGCATGATTTATCACATTAGAAATCAATCACCTTAAGATACATAGAGCCTCACCCCCACATGTCAACTATTTCAAAATAAAATGGCACACTTATAAATATCTCACAGGTCAAGAAAGAAAGCACAAGAAAAATAAATAAGTGCTTTGAACTAAGTGACATTAAAGGCTTAAAATATCAAGATCTCTTGGATGAAACAGTACTCATATGAACATTTATAACTTAAAGTACTTGTATCAGAAAGAAGCTAGAATAACAAATTATTTTCAAATTATGTAGTAAAAAGGAAAAAATAAGGGAGAAGAAATATATGAAATAGAGAAGAAATAATACAGCTAACATTTGATAAAAATTGAATAAGTCTAATCAAGGAAAAAGCAAGAACACAAAAATTAATATCCATGGAAAGAGAGCTATTAAAATAACCCTATAAATATTAAAAGGTAATATTAAGGTAATAGTACAATTCTATGCCAACATATCTGATAGCTTACATAACATGGTCTATATTACAGATGGGTCTGTGTGCTGCTGAGAAGAAAGTGAATTCAGTCATTGATGGATGAAATATCCTATATATGTCTGTTAAGTCTAAAGTATCAATTGCATTTTTTATTTCTATAGCTTCTTTATTTAGTTTTTGTTTGGAGGATCTATCCAATGGTGACAGAAGCATGTTAAAGTCACCTAGTATTATTGTATTGTGGTCTATTTGATTCTTGAAATTGAGAAGGTTTTGTTTGATATATGTAGATACTCCATTGTTTGGGGCATAATTATTTACGATTGTTATGTCTTGTTGAAGTATAATTACTTTAAGCAGTATGAAATGTACTTCTTTGTCTCTTCTGCTTAACTTTGGCTTAAAGTCCACTTTATCGGATATGAGGATAGAAACCCCTTCTTGTTTTCACAATCCACATGAGTGATATGTTTTTTTCCCATCCTTTCACCTTCAGTCTGTGGATGTCTTTGCCTATGAGGTGAGTCTTTTGGAGACAGTATATTGTTGGGTCCTATTTTTTTAATCCAGTCTGCCAGTTTGTGTCTGTTGATTGATGAGTTGGGCCATTAATATTCAAGGTTATTATTGAAATATTATTTATATTCCCAGTTATCTGGGTTTATTTCTAGTTTTTAATTTGAATTAGTTTCTCCTTTGACTATTTCTTTAGTATAATTCCTCCCTTTGCTAGTTTTCACTTTTTTTTTTTCATTTCATCTTCATGGAATATTTTGTTGAGAATGTTCTATAGTGTAGGCTTTCCAGTTATGAATTCTTCTAACTCTTGTTTATCATGTAAGATTTTTATTTCATCTTCAAATCTGAAGCTTAATTTTGCTGGTATAGGATTCTTGGTTGGCATCCATTTTCTTTCAGAGCATGGTATATGTTATTCCAGGACCTCCTAGCTTTGAGGGTCTGGGTTAAGAAATCAGATGAGATCTGAATTGTTTTCCCCCTATACATAGGCTGATATTTTTCTCTCACAGTCTTTAAAATTCTCCTTATTCTGTATGTTAGGCATTTTCATTATAATGTGCCTTGGTGTGGGTCTGTTGTAATTTTGTTCATTTGGGGTCCTATAAGCCTCTTCTATTTGATTTTCCATTTCATTCTTTAGATTTGAGAATTTTTTCTGATATTATTTCATTGAAAATATTGTGCATTCCTTTGGTTTGTATCTCCATGCCTTCCTCTGTTCCAATAAATCTTAAATTTGGTCTTTACATGTTATCCCATAGTTCTTGGAAGTTCTGTTCATGGTTTCTTAACATCCTCTCTCTGTGGTCAAATCTATCTTCAGGATTATATATTTTATCTTCATTGCCTGAGGTTGTGTCTTCCATGTGGATTAGTCTGTTGGTGATGCTTTCTACTGAATTTTTAAGTTGGCTTATTGTTTCCTTCATTTCAAGAATTTCTGCTTAGTCCCCCCCCTGCCCGCCACCAGAATCTCTGCCTCTTTATTGAAGTGATCTTTCACTTCTTATATTTTGACATATCTTCTACTTCCAATGTGGTGTTGATGGATTCTGTTATTGGATTATTTTGGTTTGTTTGGGGCAATTTGTTCCCTTGATTTCATGTTATTTATGTGTCTACCCATCTAGTAGTATGGATCTGAGGCAATAGAGTTTCTACCCTCTGGACCTGTAGTTTCCCTGAATGTTTCTAGTACTTCACTGTTCAGGAGGAGAAAAATAATAACCATCACCAATGCAAACAATATACAGCATTGAGCCAAATGGTTTCTACTATAATGCCTACAATGTTAATTATCACAATAAACAGAAATAATATGATCAGTTATTGCCTATAGTAAAAACAGCAAGTTTGCAAAAGAGTTTATAATTTCAAATGGTGGATGGGGAGAAAGAAGAAGTGACATAGGGTAGGATGATTATGAGAGAGCAGGAGAGAAGTAGTAAAATAATTAAAGGAGGAGTAAAGGAGAGAACAATAGAGATTGGCTGTTAGCAGAAGTAAAGAGAGGATCAAGGGAAACAGTAGGGGAAATATATACATATATAAAATAAAAACTAAAAAAATCAAAAATAAAGTAAGAGAATACAAAACTAAAATACTCTAATCAAGCATCCTAGTTCACAAAAAATTAATCCATGAAAAATAACTGGCTTTAAAAATGTCAGAAATGAGGAAAAAAAACCAAATATGAATATTTATAAATATACACGTAGCATTAAGGTTACAATTAAACAGAGAAAAAAGAAAAAAAGATCTTGATGAAAGTTAAAGAATTCTTTCCATTGGAGTTCAAAATGTTCTGGAGATTTTAAATCAGTGCACCTCCAGGGCCCAGTAATTGCCAGTCCACCCTGAAGGACTCACCTGGGTTCCACTCATGTGGTGGAGGAGCCAATTCTTAGTTTCCAGTCACCTGCGGCCCCGTGTTTCCTGATCTTGGGTTCCATCTCCAAACTCAATCTCTCCAGCCCCTGCTCTTCTAAATTCCTGGCCAGGCATGGCTCTCCCAGGTGGTCCTGTAAGCGTTCAGATTGGAGGAGGAAGAGTAGAGCCAGGTGGGTTTCCATGAAGAGTTGATTTTTCTCCTGGTCACTTAAGCACACTGTATGTCATTCAGTGTGTATTTACTGGGCCTGTATTTCAGGTCAAACTTGGGTTTGCCGGGAATCGTCCCCCTCAGCTGCCAGCCCCTTGGCAGAAGCTGCAAAATATTTCCTTCCTTTGTCCTCTGCACACTACCTGGAGAGATGGAGGCTTCTTTCCCTGTACATAGATATTGTGCAGTGCATCTTTCAGGTTTGCCAGGCAATGGCCTTGATCTCTAAACGCCCTGTACCTAGATATGCCTTGGGTCTCCCAAAACTGTGGGTTTCTTTAATTCCCTTATCCCTCCACTATGCTGATAGAGGGATTGCTCTGGCTGGTGCTTCCAGCCCAGCCATGGCAGTGGCTGTGCTGCTGGAGATTTCCTCCTTAGTTTATTATATCCGACCTCCTGTGTCCCCAATCTGCTTTGAGTGTCCAGTTTTACATTTCAGTAAAACTCCCCACCCTGGCTTTTTTTTTTTGTTCACCCCCCTTGCTGAGTAGCTGCCTGTCTGCTTTCTGGGCTTCACTCTACAGAGTGGCCAGGAAGGTGACCTCCTTTATTCTGCCATCTTGAAAAACCCCCAAGATATATTCTTATTGATAAAAATATAGAAGTCATCCAGACTGATGGACAATTGAGTACAGAGGAATACTGGGAGACAGGTAGCAATATATTCAGTGACAGTTAAATAGCTTCAATAAAGAGAAGCTGTTTGTCATGAACCTCAAAGAAGCAATGTTGAAAGAGTTAGAGCTTGGAGGTAGTGACAACGTAGTAGCAGCGTGCCAAACCCCACTTCAGATATGGTCCTGTGAAATGTAGAAAATACATAAAGAACATTCCCCACCAAAGGGAGACAAAGAGTAAGTGGTATCTTGCGGGAAAAGAATGTTTTCATTTAAGAGAGAAAGTGGGAGAGTTTCCTTGGAAGGGAATTTGTCTCTGAATGAGAATTTCCTAAAGGGGATTCCCTAAAGGTCTGGGAGGGAGCTGCTTACAGTAGGGATTTGTGGGGAGGAGTGAGCACAGAGAGTATGGAAATGAAAGGATGATGATAGAAGATGACCAGAGGGGCATCATCTTGGATGGTGGCCAAATATGATGAATATCTATCTGTTTGTTTTTGATAAAAAGTAGATCAAATATATTTGGTGAGAACACTATGCAGGTGCTATTATATGCTGCTTGGTACATCCCAGTGGGAAGCACATGATTTCAATTTATATTAGCACTTGACATTTAGATTGTCCTCTTGATGAAAATAGTGTCCACCAATTTTGTCCATTGTAAATCTTTTGTAATTAATAAATTGTATGACATCTTGAGATTATGTGAATATTCTGTTACCCCAAAATCTTTCACCTAAAGTTTAAGCAACTTTTGATGATACTGAATTGAATCAACTATTACATGAGTATTTGTAAAACATAGGTAGACATTCCAATCAAAAATATTTTTAAAATATTTCCTATATGTTATCAAGGAGCAAATTGATAATCTCTTTTGGAATTGTCATTAATGTGCTTATGTGACTTAAAAGTTTTAGGGAGAGTATATTATTCTGTATAAGTACACAAAGTAATTTATAACAGAAGAAAACATATAAAAGAGATTAAAAACTCCAATGCCAAAAAATGTCCAGGCAGTTGATGGAAATAAGTAAAGACGGCAGCAGGAGAGCAGATTTGGATCTGGAGAATGAAGTACACATGGACATAACGGGTGGAGAGTCAGGGTGGAAACAGCTGCTATTCTACTCCAGCCAGCTGTTACCAAGGACTGCCAGATAATGCAGCTTTTAAGAGAATTTAGAAATCTACAATTTCACATGAAATCTCCTGACTCTTAAATATTAGCTACTTATTAAAAACACAAACTTATGCAGATTAAATAACAAATTCATGGACTACCAGTTCAAATCATGAAAAAACTAAATTGAGTGGTGAACACATTGTAATTATCTCCTAATACTTTTGTTAAGATTTGTATGTGAGAGATTGTCTTTTCTCTAGAAAAATGAGTTAAGTTCTCAATAAACTGATTGAGAATCTATTTGAATTTATAGCATGTGTAAGAAAGACATGTTTCCTGCTCCCATATAGCTTTCATTGTACCAGGAAAGGCAATTAAACAAGCCATTACAGGAGAATTAAAGGTTTTGAAAGGAATACAAGTGCTGTGTGATGTAGAACAAAATGATTTAATATCATTTAGGTCATCAGAATAGACTTTCCTGGGGGAAAATATTTAAAGTGAAATTCACAGGGTGAGTGCATTAAGAAGGGGAAGGGATAAAGTGGAAAGTGTTTCAGATAAAGAAAATTATAAAAGGCTAGCAAGTGGGAAGCAGTGAAAAAAAATTCAGTAAAATTAAAGTTTGAAATATAAGATAGTGAATATTGCCCAAATGAGGCTAGAAATATACATGAGACCCAGTGTCCAGTTGGCAATGCTTGTCTTAAGCAATTATCTGCCTAATTGAATGACCCAACATCTTTGTGGTTAATGGATTGCAGAAGGTTAAAAAAGAGCAGAATCATCAATCCTCTATTGTTTTACATAAGGGTATAAGTAATGTCAGAAAGAATAGAGACAACAGAATGTGTTGTATCTAGGAGGTGACATTGGCATGATTTAGTATGGATTAATGTCGTCGTGATGAACAGAGAAAGGAGATGGTGGAATCAAAGGTGACTTCCAAACTTGTAACTTGAGTTTTAGTTGCCAGGGTGGCTACTAAAAGAAGAGACAGTTCTTTGGAGAAAGAAGCTGTCCTGTATTGAGTTTGACATAATGGGAGACAGTCTTCTGGAGGTAAACAAATGGCAGCTATTGCATGAGTTTGGAGCTTATGAGAAAAGACAGAGCTAGAGAAAGAAGTTTGTAGATTTCAGCATATAACCGATAGCCTTTCATCTCCCACACATTAATTATTGTACTAAAAGTCAATGGTTTCAGATAACACTTATAATCAAACGTATGCATATGCTTTTAGGAGTCATTATTTGTCTTCCTCACAGCAGGAATCCCAGCTCCAGTATATTTTGGAGTTTTGATGGACACTTCATGCCTTAAGTGGGGATTTAAAAGATGTGGAAGCAGAGGATCCTGCAGATTATATGATTCAAATGCTTTCAGGTACCATATGTTCCAACTGGGATGTTGCTTCTACAACACCAGTGTGACTGCCACTAATAAGTCCTCATGTAGTTTCACTGCTTGCAAAGTGAAGAACAGTCTAACCAAAAAGTCTGTTTTATAAATAATTTTATTATTTGGTTCTATGCTAGGTATTTCATTTTCCCCATTCCTTACATAGATTTCCACTTTAAATGAATAATCATTTAAAAAATATGTTAAAGATTCCAGAATATAGTAGCATTTTGGAAGTTCATAGACACAAATGGGTAAGTAACTCCCTGAAACTCAGAAGCATTTAAATTTGGGTCACATTTTGGATTTAATTCTATTCTTTTTCATACTGAGCCAAACTGTACCATTTACGTCAGTTATAATCCCCTTGGGCAAGAGTTGAATTTGGCTCTGAATCTCTCCTGCTCTTATTGCCAAACTGATGTTCAATTATTTCAGTACTTGAAATGCATAAAAGTAAAAGGTTTCCGCTGTGTGGGTGAGTGTGTATGGGGTGGAGGGCTTGTTATTTTCACTATAGTATCATTCAGTTCAGTTCATCAAACATTTAGTCCTCTTGTTGCTTAAAGCAATGCTTCAATAGCTTAAAAGCAAGAGGATTTTCTAAAAGACTTACAAACTGAGCATTTCTTAGAGAAATAAACTTGGTGCTGAGCCATCTAAGTCGGATGTGAATTGGGCAGACCATCTCAAATAACCATGTTTGATTTAATAGGCTTTGATGTTATGTGTGAAATTTATTTTGGTCTTTGAAAGGGACCTGATCTGTGAGTATAATTTGGGCTTTGCTCATTTGCTAAGGCTGTATTCACTTTAGTGTGGAGACAATATAATCCAGAGACTGAACGTACGTTTAAAAGGTGACCGTAATGCAACATTTACCCTGCCTTTCCCTACCTTCGTATTTTCTGTCAGAGTATGGAACCTCAGACTTCTCATGGAAGAAATTGATTTAAACCTCTGGTTTATTCTTAAGTCATTCAGCTTTATTGAGGGATCCAATTCCCCTTAACATTGTTTCATGCACTTGTTTCATAGAAATGAATTTGGGAAAGATCTGAGGATGGGGTAACCACACAGTTTCTCATGCAAATTGGACACTGTTGAGAGTGAAAGGGGGCATTATTAAAATTACACTTGTGGCTGGGGCTATAGCTCAGTGACATTAAATATATCTGGTATGCTCAAGGCCCTGGATTCAATCCCCAGCACCGCAGGGTAAAAAAAGAAAAAAGAAAAAAAATTGCAAAAATAATATTACCATTGAAACAATGCTAACATATACTGGGACTGCTCTGGGCAAACAAGGATGTGGTTATCTGGTCTAAGGGACTCATTTTCAGAGAGCATAGAGCTGATTACATAGTTTGTAGTAACTAAAAATGATAGTACTGCTGAGAAATTTCTTTATATTAGTACATTGCCTTTGATTGGCTGGCTATCAGTGTTCATAGAAAGGCATGTAATAGCCAACATTCTACTCTAAAGCTGCATTCTTAAAGAAAACCATCAAGATGATGTCATTACCTTCCTTGTACATTTTATTTCAAGTTAGGTAGTTGCAATAATTCTGACTGAAATTCTCTCCTCTTCCAGACACATATATCTGGGACTAACTATGATACTGGGCATAGTATCCATTTTCCTAAGTATTGCAGTACTGTTTGTTTTAAAGAAAAATTATGTTTCAAAACATAGAAGCTTCATAACCAAGAGAGAAAAAACAATGGTGTCTCCAAGATTTAGGAAGGAAAATTGTTCTCCAAGTGATCATTTGCTACAGCCCAACTACTGGCCCGGCAAGGAAACACGACTCTAGAAAAGTGACAACTCAAAGGTGTGTTCTCTAATGTGTGGAAATTCAGCAAACAAATAAAAGTTTAATCAAAAGGGGTTTAAATGTGTAATTTCTTTCTTCATGCAAAAAGAAAAAAAATTCTACTTTGCTTTTGACCCTAGGCACTAGATAATATTCCCATAATCAATATCATTAAGCAGAACAAAAGATGCAGATGACAAAACTAGCTTTCTATCTTTTAATTTGTATACAGACTCCTTGCATTATTTACAGATTCTGCTTTATCTTGCCTAATGCCCATTGATATGTTAGCTATATTCCTAAAGAACTATTGTCTCTACTGTATGATTGTTATCTGTAAAATAATTTCTAAACTTACTTACTTTTCAAAAGCCAGGTAATACTGTTAGAAAGTTAAGTCATAACTTAGGCTCCTTCAAGTGTTTTCTTAACAATGATGTTAGGATGGACTCCACATGGAGAAGGAGATTCATTTTTAAGCTCTTCTTTCCTTTGAAATACAACAATGGATACAGAAATGTGTTTGGCAAAGTGATCTTGAGAGATTGGAATTTTGGATCATTCATTCTTCTACTAATTATTTGCATGTGTTTTTTGTGTGACACTATAAGTAACTGTGTTTATACATTAATAAAAATTAATGTTAACGTGTATTAGTGTCCTATGAATTCAATGGGTTGAAAATATTAAGTAAATATTGTCCATGTTTTAATGTTTACGGGCAACTCTCTACTTATGTGTATGATGTGTTCCTAAAAAGCATTTGGAAATTGAATTTCTGAAAATCTATGATAATCTTAGATATTATAACAGAGAAACAGAGTAATGGATTGAGTGACAGTAAGCTGGCTGTGGCGCCTTTTGGTATCACCTGTCTCCCATCACAGAGCCTAGTCATTCTTGGGAGGAAGCTGCATAGCCTGTCAGGTAACCATTTCTCCACAACTGGAAAATACATCACACCCATTGCCTCTTTCCTGGCTTTTTGGTGCTCCTCCGACGAGACTTAGTAGATTTATCAGAACACCATCTTTAATATTTAACTCTACTCTGTATAATTTTTCTTTCTCCAATATAGCTTGAAAGAGGATTCTTTAAAAAAAAAAAGACAATTTAGGATAGAGACACCCACCCTGCTCCAGCGTGGCACCCTGTTCAGCCAGCTCACCAATCCAATATTGTCCATGTTCTGTGAGTCCTGCACAATCTGGAGAAGACCAGGTGGAAGGGAAAGTTGGGCTAAGAATGTAAGACTGAAGGGTATTCAAATCTGAGTAAGACCACAGGGTGCCTCAGATGCATAGGAGGAGGACCTTTACTTCCCAAGGAGATTTTCAAAGTCAAACTTGGAATCCTTAACTAGATATTATACCAGCCATTCTAGGAACTGTATTACTTAATCTTTTCAGCATTCTGGCATGAGAATCCCCATTTTATAGCTGATGCAACTGGGTTAAGCAAAATTAGATAAACTGCTTAGCCTTGGAGATACACTGCCAGAATCAAATCCAGGTCTAAATCTAAAGTTGTCTTCCCATTATAACAACCTGACCCAATAATGTGATACTAAATAAACTGTTTTTATTATTTTTAATGTCTCTCCATTACTTAATTCAGTCTGCTTGGGTAGCCATCTTCATGTGCATAATTCAACATCTTGAAGAAAATCAATGATCAATATAAATCACAGAAATAATTTACATAACATATTCTTTTCTTCAAATGCTGTTGTTTTAAAGTTTGAAATGCTTTGCTTTTTAAAAATAGATAAACCCAAAACATGCCATTAACTTAAGTCATATGATGAAGGATGATCCTTTGGAACTGTGAAGACTCTGAGTGCAATGCATTCTTAGTAGCCTTTAGAACAAACAAACATAAACAGGATACTCCCAGTTAATCCTCTGTGTGAGGTGTTTCTTGGAACCTAAGCCCGGCAAGAAGGCCCAGATGAAAAATTTGGTACCCATACTTAATGCAGTACAGCAACTAAATAATACAAACTAAATTGTTTGCAGTCTTTTATTTTTCCCTTTATATACCAATTCTGCCAATATGAATGGGAAGGGAAAGTTTGAGACCGTAGAAGAGAGAAAATGTCCCTTGAATGTATTTATTAACTTTGTCATTTTGTTTGAATTCTTGATTGTTGCATTATTTTGTTGTTTTTGAAAATGAACACCGATGTTTTGTTTCCAGCAGGCCTGCTTCAGACCTGCTGCTGTCTGCCAGCCGAGCAGGAATCCTTTTTGTCTGTAAGTCTTACCCATAACAAATATTTACTGAATGGGTGAGTGAGTGCACTCATCAAGGGTTTTCTTTGTAGAGATGTAATTCAAATTCAAATTCAAATTCTCATCCTGTCTCCCACATCCTCTTTATTTTTCAAAGCTTTTTGTAGCAATATCCTGAAAAATAACTCCTTTGCAAGTAAATTGCTAAACAGAATCCTTTCCAATTTACTCTCCAATAACTTGAAAAATACAAATCAGCCTAGAGGATGATGAAAGGATGGTCTCTTTCATAAAGGACTGAATGCCAATTAAAAGGAAGTGTGTTTTTACGTATGACCATTCATTCACAGTGGAATTATGTGTACAGAACTCAGCTGCATGGCATCTGAGAGCATCATTTAATAGGGAATTGAATGGACTAAAAGCAACCCTGAGATTTTAGATAAATAAACTCATCTGACAGAAGTAAGCAGACTTTTTATGCCCCAGAAAGCACATGATTAATTTTTTTTTGTTTGTTTTAAAAACAAACCAAACCTCATTTCAGAGATCAAAACACTTCCCTTAGTCTCAGGGCCAAACATCCTAGGCAAGGTCTTGATTGATGTGTGGGATCCCACAATTGTTACATGGTCAATGGGCCACTTTATTCTCTTCTATAGTCATGGCTCCTAGAGGTGACAAGCATTTAAAATTGACATCTGATTACCTCTAACCTTTAGGCAAGTAGACTCCAGCAAGTCTACCTGCCAGATGGTGTGACTTAGATTAGATTAAATGACCTGCCCAAGGTAGAAGCAGGCAGACTAATGCTGGTTCTTTCATTACATCATGACACCTCAAAAGCAGGCATTTGGCTGAATGCAGTGGCGCAAGCCTGTAATCCTAGCAGCTTGGGATGCTGAGTCAGGAGAATTGCAAGTTCAAAGCCAGCCTCAGCAAAAGCAAGGCAGTAAGCAACTCAGTGAGTCAGTGAGATTCTGTCTCTAAATAAAATATAAAATAGGGCTGAGGATGTGGCTCAGTGGTCGAGTGCCCCTGAGTTCAATTCCCGGTACAAAAAAAAAAGAAGAAGCCAGCATTCAAAACAAACATTTCAAAACCTCAAAAAATTGTTGGAAGAACTTTTGTAACCATTTGCTTTGAAGGAATTTCCATCTAAATATCACATACCTATACTCATACATAAGGCAGCTTTTTAAGGAATAAATTGACTGTAACATGTACTTGAGAATATTTATTGTTTTTATAATTTTAAAACAGCTATTAAATACAATAGCAAGAATTCTCTGTGCTGAGTGCTTTAGATAAGATCACAATAATTTCCTGTGCTATGTATTGTTATTGATAATTTCAGAGGAAGAAACTGAGGCTTAGAGAGTTTTCATGGTTTGTCCAAAGCCAACAAGTTCTAGCAATTGGTGGAGCCAAGATTTAAACTAAAGTTTATAAGATTTATAGTCACGCTGTGCTTGTATGTCCTAAATCACTAGTCTTTAATAACTCCTCTAACAGTCAATTCTGTATATCCACACTAGGAAATTTTAGTATCTTAAAACAAACATGGCTAAATAAAAGTTAAATGATATAAAATGTTTTTAAATGAGAAGTAACAGTCTTCGCGAACTCACTTCTGTCCAGTTTGGTTTGTTGATCTTTCTGATGGTCACTTTCATATCACTTTCTTTATCTACCAAATTTGGGCAACATCTATTAACTGTCTCTTTTTTGTATTTTATGTTGAAAATTACTTTTTAAAATTAGATTTTTCAAAACAATGGTTTTGAATTCTGTTTTTCTAACACCTGTAACTGATTAACTTTTGTTTCTTCTTTCATTACTTTCTTCCTTCTACCTTCATTAAATATACTTAAAAAAAAATCTTTACCCAGATTTTTGATTTGTAGCCTTATAATCATACATTATTTTTATTTTCTTGAAATATCATGAATCAAACAATAAATACTGTCTATTGACTCCAGTGCAAGATTAGAAAGTATAAATGTTTTACAACAATAAGTGCTGTGGATGTGGGGAAAAAGGTATACTCATACATACACTGCTGGTGGAACTGAAAATTGGTGCAGCCAATATGGAAAGCAGTATGGAGATTTCAGTACATTCCAAAATTGGAAAATTGGGAATAGAACCACTGTTTGACCCAGCTATCCCTCCCCTTGGTCTATATACATACATACTACAGGGACACAGCCACATCAATGTTTACAGCAGCACAATTCACAATAGCTAAACTGTGGAACCAACCTAGATGCCCTTCAACAGATGAATGGATAAAAAAATGTGGCATATATACACAATGAAATATTACCCAGCAATCAAAGAGAATAAAATCATGGCATTTGCAGGTAAATGGATGGAGTTAGAGAAGATAATGTTAAGTGAAGTTAGCCAGTCCCAAAAAACCAAATGCTGAATGTTTTCTCTGATATAAGGAGGTTGACTCATAGTGGGGTAAGGAGATGGGAGCCTGGGAAGAATAGAGGAACTCTACATAGGGAAGAGGGGTTGGAAGGGAAGGAGTGGGACATGGAGTAATTAATGATGGTTGAATATGATGATCATTATTACCCAAAGTACATGTATGAAGACATGAATTGGTGTGAATATACTATGTATACAACCAAAGATATGAAAAACTGTGCTCTATATATGTAATAAGTATTGTAATGCATTCTTTTGTCATATATAAATAAAAAAGTTTAAAAAATAGGAATTAGTTAAATACAATATTATACATTCAAAATGAAAAAAGTATAAATGTTTTAATTTCCTGTCTCCTACTCACAATTCCAAGGTTTTTTGCTACTATATTCAAGAATGTAAGGCCAAATCTACTAATAAATTATTTTTACTTTATATGTCTTTTTTATATAAAAACAAATCTATGAAAAATACTTCTTGCATGCATCTTTTCCCTTATTTTTATATAGTTAAAATGGGTTCCTGGAGATGATGTATTAAATAAAGGCATACTAAATAAAGTCATTCAAACAAAGAAAGGCAATTGAGCTTACCACAGCTTTGAAACCTCTACCAATTTTTCAGTTTTATAAATTGAAAAATAAGATTTCAATGTTTTGGGTTTTATTTCCTTGCCAGTGGTTTAAACTTTTGTTAATCTACTGTTCATATCTATTCTTTTATAAATTAATCCACAGCCTTGCTTACA